TCTCCCATACATGCTCCCTCTCTCTCCCATACATGCTCATACATGCTCCCTCTCTCTCCCATACATGCTCACACATGCTCCCTCTCTCTCCCATACATGCTCACACATGCTCCCTCTCTCTCCCATACATGCTCACACATGCTCCCTCTCTCTCCCATACATGCTCACACATGCTCCCTCTCTCTCCCATACATGCTCCCTCTCTCTCCCATACATGCTCCCTCTCTCTCCCATACATGCTCATACATGCTCCCTCTCTCTCCCATACATGCTCATACATGCTCCCTCTCTCTCCCATACATGCTCACACATGTTCCCTCTCTCTCCCATACATGCTCACACATGCTCCCTCTCTCTCCCATACATGCTCACACATGCTCCCTCTCTCTCCCATACATGCTCACACATGCTCCCTCTCTCTCCCATACATGCTCATACATGCTCCCTCTCTCTCCCATACATGCTTATACATGCTCCCTCTCTCTCCCATACATGCTCCCTCTCTCTCCCATACATGCTCCCTCTCTCTCCCATACATGCTCCCTCTCTCTCCCATACATGCTCCCTCTCTCTCCCATACATGCTCACACATGCTCCCTCTCTCTCCCATACATGCTCACACATGCTCCCTCTCTCTCATACACGCTCACACATGTGAACCGAATCCTCAGGCAACGTTATCTCCCTCATCCTCAAACACTTGTTTAGATCATAGAAATCTATTCTCCAGCCCATTAATTTGAGCAATGAAGAACATGAGGATTTTATGGAGAATCTAAGATGATGCTGGGAGCTCCTTTTGAGTGATATTGGATTTTTGTGAAAAAGTAGAAGACAGCAGACAAGGTCTCTCTGTCTTCACTATTTGGTTGGCTTCAAAACAGGTGGAGCCCTGATTCTTGTAACATTGAATTTCACATTGCTTTTTATGAGCAACGGGTCCGTTTCTACATTGCACCTCTGGATTTAAAAGAGGAAATTTCAACCTCAGAATAATGTTTTTAGCTGAATAAAATATATGCCAAACTAAGTTCTGACTTCAGGTTTTCTGAGTCCCAGTCTCCAAAGTTTTCTCAGGTTTCCAGTACTGGGCCCAGCTGACTGGCTCCCGCCATGTCCTCCTAGTCTACAGTTAGGTGGAAAAGGCTGAGAAGTAGGAGCACCACCTCTCATGTGCACTCGGTGGGCCTGGGGACGTCCCAAAGATCAGAGAATGGCTTCAGCTTCATTTTATCTAGGTATGGCTGGCTCGCCTATCAGCCGTCCTCCAGGGCAGGCAGCAATGGGTTTTCCTAGGCATTATGGGAAAAATAATTCTAGCAAGAAAACGGGGAAAATATCATACAAAAACAGTAATAAGTGTTGGCCTCCCTTCCCGGCCCCATAAAAGACCATTTTGTAAGGTGGGGGAAAGTTATGCTTTGCTTTCTGACTAAACAATAAAGCACATGCAGTTTGACCTAAACTGCCTACCCAGTTCCCTTAATTTCAGGTCCATGATCCAACTTCTCACCTTCCCCCTTAAATAGATGAACTGAAGCCTTGTGGGCCACACACTTTAAAACGAGATTCCATCACCAGCTAACAAACCAGTTATTCTTGGATCAGGACTGGTTCTGGCAAGATGCTCGGGTCTATGCAGAGGATAAATGAGAATAAAATTATTCAGCTCTGCTTACCGTGGCCACTGCTCCCACTGTCATCCTCAAAACCTACCCAGAAATGAGCTCACTCCAACCTTGGAAACATTTCACAGCTTCAAAGTTTAAATCAGGCAAGCTGATCTTTGTGGGGTTTTTCAAGCATTTACTCTGTAATTATGTACAGGACTCTGTGCACCCATTTCCTCCCAACTGTAACATTTTACATCTTTTTTAAGCATACGTTGACATTAGCTTTTTCTTTCTTTCTTTTAGTACATGTTATGAAATAAGATACGCGCTTATACTCAGCCTCAGGTACCTTTCTGCCAAAAGGCGGGACCAACACAAACTAAGTATGACTATTCTCTTTATCCAAAGTACAGTTGAGACTATTACATACCCTCTTAATGTGCATACATAAAACCAGCTCACCACTAACGCTCCCTGCAGGTCAACTGAAATCACAACGAGATTTTCCTTCCATTTAATGCGATTCACAAATGTCAACGAACCGAACTCCTGACAGACTCAAAAGAAAAAATAAAATAACCCAAGGAACGCTGAAAGGTAAAATAATCTGAACGTTCTTTATATTTTCTCCTTACTTTCTCACATCTTTAACTCAACAAGTAGGTTATTTCTTACGGTTATGGATAGGCATGTGCCCTAAAGGCAGACAAAACCGAGATAGTTTCAGCTCCGCTATTTACTCAAATGCAACCTTCGCAAGCTACTTAGCCCTCCGAGCCTCAGTTTCCTCATCTGTAAAATAAAAATAAAAGCTTTCAAAGGATTTTTCCGCAGACGAAATGAAATAATGCAGGCTTAGATAAGGCCCTACAGTAAAAGTGAAATAAAATAAAAATAGTAAACATGAATGTTTACCGTTGCTAATATTTCCATCTGCTCAATAGGTCTACTTTCCAGCCTCGGTACAAAAAACGCCAAGTCGCTTCCTGCCTGCCTAGAGTGCTTTGAAATCCATGAACGGCAGTGGGTGTGTGGAAATGTACAAGAGTGTTATGCAAGGAAACAAGCGGTTATCTATCTATTGTTACTCAATTTTACCAAGTCATTACAAATGTTTGGGAAGCAGTAACGACTGTGACAACTTGGGTCCCGTAATTCTAAACCCCTGCAAAGGTCATGATAACCTATCACTGAGCCTTTCAGCCAATGAAAGAGCCCTGTAATGGGTACTCTGTGCCAAAGTCCTGATATTACATATCTAGAAAGGATTTCGGACAGCGCCCACCCAAGACAGATACCTACAACTGTTACTTAAATGTTAAGACACAAATGAACCTACTGCCCTTCTAAACTTAATCCACACTTCTCTGGAATAAATATCATTCCCACTTGAATTCCAACGATGCATCCTTTCAGATTTAGTCTTTACCTTCAGAACTACAGGACTTGGACCTCTATCTCATCGCCAAGTCTCCACTTTCCTAGAAAGGTACTATTTTAGCTGGATAGGAGTACTCAAAAGGCGGAATGCTGTGGGGAGAATTTCTCATAATGTTACTTGGGAACAACTTACGAAACTCAAACTACATACGTAAACTTTGTAAGTAGTAATATTGCTGAAGAGAAAAAAACATTATATATGTGAAGCTCTCCGAACATTTACATATTATGTGTACAGGGCGATTTCCTCTGAAACCTTAATAGATTAAGATAAAAAAATTCACTCACATTCTACAGATAAGAAAAATTTAAAAAGGAAGATTTAACACATAGACACTGCATTTGTGAATCTACAACTGAGCCAAAATTTAAACTCAAAGCCTCTTTTCAACAAATTATTTAGTAAAGATCATTCATGAACGCGGTAGCACATAAGGTGCAATCCTAATACTCCCTCTCACAGCTCTGTTTATTAGGCAGCAATATTTATTGTGTCAGCAAACGCAGTGCATTTTTACTCGTTTCTGCTGATTTCATTAGTAGTCTGAACCTTAGTCTTCTGAACGTGATAATCATATGATACAGCCGTTTACCTTCACCCATTTATCACTTCAAAACATCGACTCAATTCTTGTCATGAAAAGTTTAGGTAACGTGAACTCAGATGGCTTGGCTTTTGTCTAAACAGAGATGAATCCCTTCTCCAGTTCCACACAGCGCTGATGTAGTAACAAGTAGGCTCCTATCATTTTTGGGCTTTGCATGTGACTGCCTCAATGTACTTCCAACAGGGTTTTGTAATGTGTAATTTCTAACCAAATTTTGCCAAAAGTGATTGGCATGTAAAACACTCTTAAGCAAAAATGTTTCTCTTGGCCGGGCGCAGTGGCTCACGCCTGTAATCCCAGCACTTTGGGAGGCCAAGGCGGGTGGATCACGATGACAAAAGATCGAGACCATCCCGGTCAACATGGTGAAACCCTGTCTCTACTAAAAATACAAAAAATTAGCTGGGCACGGTGGTGCGTGCCTGTAATCCCAGCTACTTGGGAGGCTGAGGCAGGAGAATTTCCTGAACCCAGGAGGCGGAGGTTGCGGTGAGCCGAGATCGCACCATTGCACTCCAGCCTGGGTAACAAGAGCGAAACTCCGTCTCAAAAACAAACAAACAAACGGTTTCTCTCGTAGGTCTATATTTCATTTCAGAAACTCTTATTCACATTACTTAATCTCCCCCAAGTGGTTACTCATTAGACTTATCATTAACTATTAAACTAAATAAATGGACAGAAATTAGTTTTTTAGTCTGCTAACCACTGATAGTGTTAACTACGCAGCTGACTGCCAAGGGTCATTCTCTATGAAGGATGGAATTGTCCTTTCTGACTCATGCTTTCAAATTGGAAATGAAGACTGTACTTGAGAGCTTAGGGTATAACAGGCAAAGAAACCCAAGAAGTAAATCCAGAATTATATCCTCTCCTCATGTTTGTTTTTGGGGGCTCTTTCCCTGTGTCGCGTCCCCTATTCCTGAACTTCATACTTAAATCTTATCTCATCATTTTCCTGCTGAGCGTAGATGATAGAACCAACGCAGAAAGTTTAGTGGTTTGGAGGATGTGGTTGTAACAATCATTACTGGGAACAGATGTTACAAACTGTAATTTTCACAGAGGTGTCACACAATGCCTATCTGAAATTTACTTCTAAGGATGTAAATTTATAAGGATGATATCAAAAATAAGAGTTTCCAGTCGGATGACATGGAAATTGCCAAAGTCCATAAAACTCGGAAAGTAACTGGACTCAACTCACAAACTACGTACAGTTATGTGCAGTTTTGTAATGACTAAAGACAATTTGTAAGATCCGGTTATATTATCAGTTAATGGATTCACCTTATCAAAGAGAGCAATTGAGTTCATATTGCCAGATCTCCACACTTACCAAGCAGACACACATTATGCAAGGGTTGTCCGTGATAAATGGAATCTGGAGGACTTCGCCTTCATTTTCACATTTTGCAACAGAACCTGAAATTCAGTGGAAAAAATGTTTCATTTAAAGTTAGCTTAGTACCATGATTTCAACATTTTAAATTTTCACACGAATCCTTTTTGAAACCTCTACCTGAACTTCAGAAATTCTTAATATGGTTTATATTATTAAATTCACCAAAGAAAATCCCCTGCCCCGAAACTCCAATTTCAATAATTTTATTTAAACAGGTTTAAAAAAGAAAAGACTATGATATACAGATACATTATCTGTTCTCAGATGATTTGAGCACAATTCCAAGTATTTCACTGGATTTTTAATAACATTCCTCCCACACAGCCCCATATGAAAAAATAATAAAATAACTGAAATTGGCCATTAGGGCGGATTTTAAATTGACCAAAAGTCAGAACTGTGTCAACCAACAGGCCTTCCTATGACTCTGTCCTGCATTGTCTTAGGTTGAAATCACGCTGTGAAACGCAATCCTCTTTTCCCCTCTCTTAGAAATTGACTCGATATTTTCTTTTCTGCACCAGGTGTCAGTAAAGTGTGTCCTTCAGAAAAGCAGCTGAGGTCTTCACCTGCCTGAAAATATATCATTATTATATCCGGCTATTAGCGCCCTTTTTATATGGTAGTTTCTTTAAATTCATGGTTTTGAGAGCCAGTGCTTTAAAAACCACTCCTAGCACGGTAGATGTGTGGAGCCCGGTAGATGAGAAAGGAGGATGTGGGGAAAACTGCAGGATTTTTTTCCCCTGAGTTCTACAGAGGGAGAGAAAGATTAAAAGTTGAGGAAAACATTCAAAATAAATAAAATAAATTTCCACATTCACATGGAAGAATGTCTATTATTACTACAGTGAAAGCAACAGCCTCTCAGCCTGCAACCTCTTCACCGACTCCCAGTCTTCCCAGTCTTCCCAGCCCTTCTGGGGCTTCACTTCATCCGCCATCGACCAAGCGCAGGGCAAGCACCAAGGTAAGCGCTCCCCACCCTCCCATCCCCGGGGCAAGCCGGCACCCTCTCTCCGAGGTACCAAACTGGCGTCCCGGAGGGCCGGTCCCTCCCGCCCCCTCCCCTACCTGTCAAGAAGGAGGAAGCCAGAGACGTGGGGACCCCGGAGCAATTGAGCAGCAGCAGGACGCAGCAGGTAATCCCAGGCGAGCGCCGGCAGGGACGCTGGGCCAGAGCGCCCACGCGGGAGAACCAGAGCATCGTCACCTGGAGGGGATCCCGGGCGACTGCAGGTCCCGCGCCGCCGCCTCTGCTCCGCGGCCGCCGCTCGCAGTTGAAAAGGGCTCTCAGCCGGCGTGTCGGGAGACAGTCCGAGAAGGAGGGAGGCGGGCGCCCGGGAGCTGGGGGGCGGAGGGGACGGGGGGGGGGAGTGAGGGAGGGCGGCGGGATAGGCGAGGGGTGGGGGGCTCCCGGGGAGGAGGGGTCCTGCGGCCAGGCTCCTCCGATGCCGCTTTTTTTTTTTTTTTTTTTTCTGAGGGAGTTGCTTGCAGTGGCTTCGCAGTCAGCGCCTCCGCGCCGGAGAGAGACCGGGAGGAGGGGGTGTCGCGGCAGCCGGAGAGAGACCGGGAGGAGCCGCCGCCCGGGCTGCAGCTACGGCCACGGGGCTGTCGCTGTCGCTGTCGCTGTCGCTGCGGCGGCGTCCTCCACTCCCGCACTCCCCACCTCCTGCCGGCCCCGCCGGGTCTGCGCTCCCGGGGCGCGCGCGCTCAGCCGCTGGAGACTGGGGCGCACCGGGCGCCTGCTGGAACCCGCTGGGGGCGCCCGGGCGCGGGAGGGACTGCGCGATGGCTACAGCGGGAACCCCAGCCCCACCGGGGAGGCCGCAGCCCGGGGCGCAGACCAGAGCCGTGAAGGCGCGTCTCCACCGCCCGGCGAGCGCGGCGCCGCCTCCCTTTCTGGGCAGCCCGGGGGATGCGGCGGCACCGGCGCTCAGGCCCGGGTGCCCCAACCCTGCGGGGGGAGCCGCAAACGGGACGCCGGCCGCCTCGCCACCCTGCGCGCTCCCCGGGTGCCCGGCTTTGGGAGGGAGCGACACACCCGGGGCAGAAGGGCTCCCTCAACTTTTCACGCCCTGCTTTGCTTCCCTCTGGCGGGGGCGCGACGGCGAACCCGAGGGGCTGAGCGGACAGCGGGGCGAGCGGCCTCCGAGATCCGGGTTTGTGCTCGTCTGTCTGCCCGTCCCGACACTCGGGATGACCGAAGTTGAGAGGACACAATAGGTCGATTAAAAAACGTACACAGGCAAACGCCTTTCGCCCTTAAAAGAACAGTCGCTCCGAGACTCCTCCCTTCCAGTCTCCGGCGGGCCGGGGCGGGAGGTGGCGTTTGACTAAACGTTCATTCACCCGCAAAAGAGGGAGGGACCCCCGCGCCTCCGCTCATCTCCGGCTGGGGCCGCGGCGCGGCGGCCTCTGCAGCTCCGAGCTTGTGCCCCCTCAGCCCGGCTGCGCCCTCTCGCCTCTGCAGCACTGGGCCCCGGGGAGTCCGCGTCCATGATCCCCCTGCGGAATCGCCGCCTCCTGCCCACGCAGTGGCACCCTCTGTCCAAAAGGCGTGCAATCGCAGACAGAGATTTTGTAACCAAAGTACGAGGGCGCGGGTGGGAGCGAGGGACGCTTGGCACGTGTTGGGACCCGACGATCAGCCAGGGTGGACCACCGACCTCCTCGGTCCAAAGTTGAAATCGGGTCCCCGCGGAACGGACCTAAGGGTCTCCAGGCAAAGTGGGTTGTTTCCATTGTGGAAACTATGGCTTAGAAAATAAATGAGTCTGTTTGCTGACAGGTTAATCTACCTTCACCGTAACCCTCCCCTGCCTTGTTGACTGTTTATTTTATTCGTTTTTTTTCCGAGTGATTTGGAGGCTAAACTTAATTAGTGCAGCATTCATCGAGACAGGGAGGAGCTGGTCCGAGCACGTTGCGCTGACGTGGGAAAAATAAGAGAAGGGAAAGCTGTCATTACCTTAGCATGCTCCATTTCCCCCTCAAAATAGATTATTTCTGTAAATTTTAAATTAAAAGAGAAGAAGGGTGATGTGTGTTTCCTCCCCCCCACCCCACCCCCGCCCACCCAAATAAAGCCAGTCAGCTTCTCAGAAACTAGTGTGTTTAATGTATTTACTAATCATTAAGATAATACACAAAAAGAAAAAAATTCCTAAATCCAGCCTTGCTTCCCAGGGACTCATTACAAAATAAAATAAATAAAATTATAATTAAAAATCAAATAAATAAAAATCTTTATTGCTGCAGATAAGTACAATCAGTTGGAACCACTAACTCCTCTATCTAAAAAGATTGTCCCTGGATGAGGCTTTTAGATAAAGTTGTTTATCATAATTTAATTATGGGAAGCTGAATAATAAGGAAGTTGGGAGACCTTTTGTTGCCTTAGCTGTAGATTTGGATAAATGTACGCTATGAATTTGCAAGACATTTGAAGAGTGTGCCTGAATTACTCTGATATGCCTTCCCTCCCTGGCACCATCGATACATCCTCTGAATTCGCATGACAAATTTCTTTACAACAGAATCTAGCTCTGTGTGGCATTTCCATAATGCATTAGAGTACCCTGGAACTCTCCCTGTAGGTGCAAATCCCAAAACCACCTTAAAAACATATTCATCTGCCTGAAAGTTTGCAAATGGGAAAGATGCACAGAAGCCTTTGGCAACTCTGTCTCCTCTTCCTGTTTGTTACAATCCTCTGCCACCAGCAATTTCCCTTGCTGCCTTCTTGGCAAATGGGCCCTACTTCCGAAAGAGCAGCCTTCTCTCCAAGGCCTTATCAGGATGTTTTCCCCTGTATCTACTGCTGCCACTGCCCCGTCAATTGACAGTCTATCAGCTGCCAACTGGTCTCTGTCTACACAAAACAGAGACGTTCTGGGGTCAAAAAGAAGAGAGAATGCCTGCACTGAAAGGCACATAGATCTGCCTTCACAGTTTAACTAAATGGTGGTACTATCCAAATCCCAAAATGACCTTGGCTGAAATCAAAATGAGGAAAAAAAGTGTGTGTTTGGGTCTGCTTATGACATCTTTCAAGGGGAAGGAGGTGATGGGGCACAAAGACCAATATTTAACTCTGGGCCTGTCCCAGTCTGAGTTAGACAAAACTCTGTCTCATCTCCTTCTCTGGAAAACAAACCAGGAATCCTAATCAGATTAGAAGGGGCCAGGCCTTCAGGAAGAGCAACTTTCTTCATCTCTTCTCAAAACCATGATGCTCAATTCTCACTGAAAAATCCAGCGAATGTACAACTTAGTCTCATGGATTCAAGTCTGAAAGATACTTCCAGAGAAATCACATCAATCCAGCTTCCTAAAAATGGAAATAAATAGACCTTTCCTAAAGGAAACAGAGTGAAGAGATTGTGATACCTACCATTAGGGCAGGGTGCAAGGTATTCCATAAACTTGAGAAAGTTACACCTTAAAAAGGGCACAAGACTAGGCATTTAGACTTGATAAAGGATTATGCTACCAAGGATCTTATAGTCCAGTAAGGCGGATAAACTGTGTTGATAATGTAAAAAGTAAGTAAATGTAAGAAGAGAAGATAATATGTCATGGAAGTTTCCAAGAGGAGATTAAGCTTCGTGAAGGAGGTGGCATTGGAAACTGAGTTTTGAATGAAGGGTGAGGCTCTAGTGAGGGAAGGGCAGTCTGCGCACCGCAGGGATTAGCAGCAGAGAAACTCAGGGTTTACAAAGAGAACAGGGAACAGGAATTCTGTTGGCCTCAGCTGCCCACTGAGCTGGAGCTGTTGGGAGGCTGGGAGATAAAGAGAAATGTACAGGTGATACTTCAAGGATTCCCTCCCAGGTGACCTACAGGAAATCTACCCTCAAGTAAGTGTCTAATTTTTCTTTGCGACAACCAGACTGCATTTCTTTCAAATGGAAATGTATTTCTGCAGGTGGATTCAGCAATCTGAACATGTGGTCAGTATAACACTAGAGAGCACCATTTCCACCTTCGTGACTTTGAAGGTGATGGCGTGGATTCTACACATGCATCATTATTTCTCAACCTCTTTAGCAATGGCTAGATGCTTGCTCTTGGGTTGAAAGTAGAAATGCTACTTTTAACTATTTATTTAGAGCACTGGAGATCTTAGAAATCAAATAAACCAATTCCCTGCTCTTTCACTTTAAAAGTAAGAAATCTAAAGGCTAAGAGGTGAATGACTTGCCCAGGGTCACACAACTAGTTAATGGCATAGTCCGTTTAAACAGGGTTCATCTGGCTCACTGATCATGATGTTTTCCACTATAAATGTTTTGCCTTCTTGGATTATGAGTCATAAGAATTGTAGGAAAGGACCACTGAATATTTTAGATATGATGCAAATTAAAATTCTGGAGTTGGTGAAATAAGTGCTCAAATATTTATTGAACTAAACTGGTACCAAGAATACAAGTTGTAACACCATAAAAAGCAGACCACAACTTAGCTCACTGATTAAACTGAATTTATTCTGTCACTCGGCTAAAATGTTGAAGAACTGCACTCTCTTCTAGGCTTTGCTACAGATTAGCTTAGTTTCAGAGAGGGGTAGGCACCAATGAGACTGGTGAGATGGACTCTAGATTCTGCCTAGAATTTTAATGTCATTCCAAAAAATGAGAGACTCAGAAATGACATTTTTTGGAGGGGATAGAAGGCAATGGGGACAATGATAAAAGCGTTACACCCATGATATTGTATAATTTATATAAATGATCATTATTAAAATTAAATTATTAAATCATTAACCTGATCTTTTCTTAATCATTTTTCTTCATTCTTTGTAGCCTTAAGATTATTTTCACATACTTGTACTCATTACAGAGTTTGTCTAGTTCTAAAGCAGGGCATTTTGATGAGGATGATAGGAAACTGACATTTTTAAACACAGTTGTATCAAAATAACAAAATCACTAGGTTTTTAAGGAAATTAATATCGTAATACATAAAGCCCCCTTCAAACGCCCCCTTCTCTCTTTCCCTGGCCCTGACCATCCCAATCCCTGCCTGAAGGACAATGGAGTAACGTTTGCTGTTTCACAAAGCCCTCGCTCATTTAAATGTCCACGAGCCAAACTAGCTGGTCTCGAGGGTCACAATTCTCTAGTTATACAGTTAAAATGAGGTTGCAGAGTTAAAACAAAGATTTTGACAATTTCCATCACAACATCCAAAATATTTCTGTGTGCTGATTCATCTTCAGGGACGTGCTGAATACATCAGTCATTTCAATATTGGAAGTTATAAAAATCAGACATGAATGTGACTTCATTGCCAGGGAGGCACTGGTGTTGCCAATTCATAGACACTGATCTTTGAAAAAGAGTTCTCTTCTCCACATTTCATCCAGAAGTCACTCCCCAAAACAAGCTTATCTAATCACCAGCTTCACTGGCACCAAAGCTGCAGCCCCATCTACCGGAAGTGAGGGACAGCCAAGGAGATCTCAGGACCAACCCAGGATACCAGAATATTAAGCTGATGTCTCAAGCCTGTTCTTCCCCAGCTTTCACTGTCTCTCCTACTTTAAGTTCTCCTGCTTCAAGACTGTAAGTTGATCTCATTGGAGTAAACATCAACAGAGGAGAGAAAAATTACCGTCACTGCAGAATTATTATTCAAGATTATCTATCGACTTAGAAACAGTTCAGCTTTACTTACGTGGGGACATATACTACCAGATGGCCATTTAACACGATGGCTGCTCCAGCAGAAACTCCCGCTGTCTCCCAACATCTACTCTTTCCTTCTTTCTCAAGGTACAGCCCCCCAATTTGTGCAATGCACATGGCTCTCAGCGATAAAGGGCACTTTCCTTAGTCTTTCTTTCAGGTAGTAGTGATCCCATGACTAACTTTTAGCCAATGGAATAGAAATGGAGAAGCGTCATTCAAGGAAGAACATGATCTTTCTTCTCTTCCTCCCACCCGATGGCTGGAATACAGACATGATAATATAAGTAAGGCTCCAGCAAAATCTTGTCCCCTGCACATACCTTGGGAACAATGCCTCTAGGAAATGGCAGAGCAAGAAATGAGATTAGATTCTCACACCATAGAGTGCAATGGGAGCCTGAGCTGATGCCTCTGGCTTTCCCGAATGTGAGGGGTTACTTTCCGTGTGTGTGTGTGTGTGTGTGTGTGTGTGTGTGTGTGTGTGTTGTTACTTGTAGCTAAACCTGAAATCTTCTGAAATAGCAAATACCAAAGACAAGGACTAACTGCTCAGTAGATAGCTACATGTGTTCATTAATTAACATATTTTTGTATTTATTAATGTTTCAAGCACTTTCAGAGGCAAGAGAAAGATATAATCAAGATATAAGTATCTTATGTTACTTACATCTATCTTATAAAATTCAGGGGAACTTCCGATGTTCTTTATTTTTATAAAAACAACTTTTAGATATCTGTACAACCATGTTCATAGTGGCATTATTCACAGTAACTGAAAATGTGGGAGCGACCCAAGTGTCCCCATCAAGGAAAGAATGAGTAAACAATATGTGTGCATATATACTACGAAATATTATTCAGCCTTAAAAAGGAAGAAAATTGACACATGCTACAACATGGACGAAACTTAAGGACATTATGCTTAGTGAAATAAACCAATCACAAAAAGACAAATTCTGTGTGATTCCACTTATATGAGGCACCTAGAGTAGCAAATTCAGAGACAAAAAGAAGAATGGTCATTGCCGGGAACTGGAGGGAGGGAGGAATGAGGAGCTGTTTCACATAGAGTTTTAGTTTAACATAGAGATGAAAATAGTTATGGAGATTTGTTGCACAATCACGTGAAGGCGTCTAACAGTACTAATTGTACACTTAAAAACAGTTAAGATGGTAAATATTACGTGACACACATTTTATCATAATTAACTTTTTAAAAACATGTTTAGACAAAAAATCTTTATATTTTCTTCTTTGCTACCAAATTAGCATATTATCGTTTGGCCAAAAAGTTGGAAATACAGATTAGCAAAAACAAAACATTCTCCTGTTTTATAACCTTAGTATTGTGTGTCGCTTTGTGCTGAGCGGTTTCCATACACGCCTCATCTCACCAACATGTCTATGAGGTAGGTACAATCATCAGCCCAACCAAACATACAAGCAAAATGAAACACAAAAGGTAAGAAATTGTCCAAGGTCACACAGTGGGGAATTGGTTGAGGTAGAATCAGCAACCAGGTAGGCTAATTCCAGAGCTCATGCTTTTATTGGTTAAACTATGGAGAAATGTTCTGTCTTTCACAGTATCATTTTTAATAACTGTATGTTCTATGCTATGAAGGTGCTAGAATCCTCTTCAACCTCCCACTCAGGTCACTCTCAACTTTTTACTACTATAAAAGATGCTTGGCTGGGCGCGGTGGCTCAAGCCTGTAATCCCAGCACTTTGGGAGGACGAGGCGGGTGGATCACGAGGTCAAGAGATGGAGACCATCCTGGTCAACTTGATGAAACCCCGTCTCTACTAAAAAAATACAAAAAATTAGCTGGGCACGGTGGCGCGTGCCTGTAATCCCAGCTACTCAGGAGCCTGAGGCAGGAGAATTACCTGAACCCAGGAGGTGGAGGTTGCGGTGAGCCGAGATCGCGCCATTGCACTCCAGCCTGGGTAACAAGAGCGAAACTCCGTCTCAAAAAAAAAAAAAAAAAAAAAAAAAGATGCTTTAATGAACATCTTTCTAATATTTATATTTATTTCCTTAAGAATAAATTCACTAATTAGCAGATCAAAGGCATGTATTTTTTGTAATTCTTAATTAAAGATTGTTTTCTCTCTTGGACTTAATATTTTTGATACTAAACTTATATAATGTAGCATAAAAAAAAGAGAGTTAACCATTAGGACCTCTAAGCTGTTTTTAGTTATCTTAATAGATGTTTGTAGATAAAAGAATATACAATTAAAGTAAGTCTTATTAAAAATAAAACACATCCCATTGACTTTTCTAGGTTTCATTGATTGTGTATTATAAATATTTATTCAGAGAAATTCTAAAACAAACAACAGTGACTTATTTGACCACTAACAGCTTTGTGGTTTAATATCAAGTGTCTGGGAGCTGGAAGGTCATCATCAGTTCCTCCCGTACTTTACCTCAATCTTTTCCTAAAAGCAGTCTCCTTCAGAGTGAATTCTGAGTAGCTCTTCCTTCCCTGAGCCATGCTTTAAGTATCTCCCATTAGAAAAACATCACATTAATGGACAACTACAGAATACCTCAGAAGGCAGCAAAATGATAAATTCAAACGCCCAATATTTAACTTATCAAAACAATCTCATCGACCCTGGCTTACTTTATAGCAGCTTACCACCAGTTGGATTAGTGAACGGTCATTAAGGAATGAACAAAACTAATTTCACTAATGTGGGAAGCATTCAAAGGGAATTCTCTGGAACTAATCCAGTGACTTAATATCTAGTCCTACTTCTGCCACTTGATGTTCTAACGATTTGAGGTCAGCTAATTAACTTTGTGAGCCTCAATTTTTCCCGTATTCTAGGATGAAATAGTATCACCTCTGTTTGCTTCTCAGGGATGAATATGAAATTATTTTATACATTGCTATATTTTAGAAGGAAACAAAACTAGAGATTTTCAGATATTAAAGAACCCTCAAAAAGCATCTAATCCAACTTCTTTATTTACACACAATCCTACTGAAGTTCAAATAAATTAAGGACTTGCCCAAAGCTGTGGTGTAGATAAATTTTTTTCCAGAAGAACAAACACCTTCTTCGGGAAATATTCCTCAAAATTTTAGTGAGCTCTGCCAATCACTATATTCCCCATTTCCAAGCACACGTCCAGCAAACACAGACGTCATAGTCCATCCTGGGCCAATCACAGCCTCTCATCTCTCTGACCACATTTATTGTTCCAGGATGTGGAATGTGACCTCAGCTCTCCCCCTGGCTTTTCAAAATTTGAATTGAAGAGAAAGTACCTTTTCCTCTCTGCCTGAAGTCTGCCACATGGGTGACTCTAAGTGTTGCTCAGCGTTGATATTATTGACAATAAAAATATTGCAAATCATACAGCCAACATCTAGGTACTGTAGCACCTGTTTTAAGCAATGCCTTCACCTAAAGGTGAAAATATGTAGACATTTTTCAGGCACGAACGGGAACTTCAGAGGAAGAAAGAGAGCAGGAAAGGCTGGCCTTGCTGGACCTCTGAGATCACACAGCATAGATGTCAGCAGCCTCCTCCTCCATGCTGGAGCCTGCCCTTATCTTCACAGGCCATGCCGGTCTTTGCTAGGCAGACATAGTCATAATCCTAAGGCCATTCCGTTCAATGAATTGAATTCACACTTATTGAAAACTAGTGCATGCATGCAGGCACTTTATCCCCACTGCCATACTTCTATTTTGTTCACATTGAAGTTCCACAGATTCCACTTCTTTGAGACATTATATTCTCTGAAATGACGGGGCAGCCGTTTATGTTTATAAAATGTCCTTTAACCACTTAAATGTATATATTTTATGTGTGTAAATAGAAAGGAGTTGGGGAGAACCCAACACCTTTGCTGAATGTTTTATTTGGTGGAGGAAAAAAACAATTTCAAGGAAGGATCTCGTTTTATTGCATTTCTCATCCCCAGTGAGGTTTATGATGGAAACAATGGCTGGGCATCAGCTACTGTCATGCAAACAGATGCAATTAAATGAGCCCCAGACAAAGGAACAAGTAAGTAGCAGCCTATTTGTGGGTTACTTTACTCCTCACTGCTGCCCATAGCTATGGTTCTTTGGGCATCATAGTAAGTGTTTATTCTGTATCATCTGTGAATGTGTTACTTTTTGCCCTTGAACATCTGGAGACGGATGACTGAACATCTGGAGACTGAGGAGTGTAAGTATTAATAAGCCCCCATGCTCTGGGTGATATGGGATTGCCAGTCTTGGTTTTAAAAGGGGCGGTAGGGTCTCCTCCTCTATTCTTCCGTGCAGTTAGTTCCCTCAGGGGGAAAAGAGTGGGCTTGAAAAACCTGAAAAAGTGGAAAGTTAAATTTCGACAACTTCTTGTTAATGTAGCCATTACTTTCCCTTTTAGTTTGGAAAGTAATTCTCATGGTGACTAAATTACCCTTTGATTAAAGGCAAAATTCCTTCAGGTCACAGAGTTTCTAAAGAAAACACTTGGTAATCCAACCTAACTGAACGAATATAATATTCTGGTAGCTTTAATGTCCTAATAGGTTTTTTTTAAAAAAAAAAAAAAAAAAAAAAGGTTGTTTTATTTTAACATTTATTTTAAGTTCAAGGGTACATGTGCAGGTTTGTTCCATAGGTGAACTTATGTCATGCGGGTTGCTGTACAGATTATTCTGTCACCCAGGTATTAAGCCTGGTGCCCATTAGTTATTTTTCCTGATCCTCTCCCTCCTCCCACCCTCCAACCTCCAATAGGCCCCATTGTGTGTTGTTCCCATCTAGTCGTCCATGTGTTCTCATCATTTAGCTCCCACTTACAAGTGAAAACATGTGGTATTTGCTTTTCTGTCCCTCTGTTACTATGCTAAGGATAATGGCCTCCAGCTCCATTCAGGTCCTTACCAAGGACATGATCCCATTCTTGTTTATGGCTGCACAGTATTCCCTGGTGTATACATGCCACATTTTCTTTATCTAGTCTATCATTGATGGACTTTTCGGTTGATTCCCCCTCTTTGCTATCAAGAATAGTGTTCCAATGAACATATGCAGGTGGAATATATAGTTTACTGATTTTCAAAGATTAGAAAACAATAAAATAGAGTGAATAATACTTTCTAATTTAATTGCTTGCATAGTTAGTTAATATGCAAAGCAATTACAATTTGTTTTGAAGATTCAAAAAATCTTTAAGATCTTCCAGCTCCTTGAAACTCAAAGTGTGGTTCCTGAAGCAGCAGCGGCGTCTACATCCCTGGGGAGACTGCAGAACGTCAGACCTCATTTCAGACTGGCTGAATCCAAATCTACATGTTAACCCGGATTCCTGGGCTATTGGTGTGTACTTTAAAGCTTGAGAAGCACTGCCACTACCACCCGATGTCAATTCGTAGTACAAGCGTGCCCAGATGTCGATCAGTTACTAGGGAGTCTGAGTTAGTAAAAGCCAGAAAGGGCACCTTGTTTGGCATTTTGATCTCCAACACTAATTTATGCGTAGGCTTGAATAAATAAAAAATAATATAGTAATGGACAAAGATGTAGGCCCTGGCATAGAAGAAGCTGACTCACTTATGTGTGTGAATATTTCTGCTAAAACATCTTCGTTAGAAGTGTCTCAGCTTTTAAAGCAGCAGGTCAATGTAAGTGGCATTTACCGGGTGCAAAGATCATATTTAGTCAACTCAAGTATGTGTGCTTTTATACTTAGGAAAGATAGAAAAATAATTTAAGTCAGGGCTGACACACACAGGCCTCAGAATTTGAGTGGCCCAGGCTCTAAACGATTGTGTACTGGATTCTTCAACCTCCCCCGCAGCGTGGATGACAATATTGAAGATATCTATTATGCGGACTAAATGTAATAACATATGCCAGACCTTAACTCACCACCCAGCACGTGGTGACATGTCAATGTGCACTTTCTCTTCTGGCTGTGGAGCTTTGTCTTATTTTCTTTCTTTATTCCTTCCTTTTAGAAATAATGCTTAGAAATGTGTTCCAGAACTGCCGTGTCTAGGGGCAGATGCATTCAAAGCCCGTGAGAGAAAGGAGCTAGCGGCATGGCTGGTGAGGAGCCTCTGAGTTCTGCTCCTGCCCAGCAGCACCCAGACTCCCGGGAGACACGAGGGCGGCGCGCTCTGCCTCGCAGAGCCTGTAGGTGGCAGCACTGGGACCGCCAAGCACAGCCCTAAGCAACTCGGGCTGCGCCCCTGAGCGTGGTTAAGCCCGGGTCATCTGCCTGAAAGTGCACATTTTGCTCCCACGCAGATAGAAACTGTGCTTTCCAATTCCAGGAAGGATAGCCTCTCCCCTTCCCTTCTAGCTTAATTTCTCTGCATTTTTTTTAGCATTTTTAGCTGTCTCCCGAACTGGAGTGCAGTGGGGCAATCTTAGCTCACTGCAGCCTGGAGCTCCTGGGCTCAAGTCATCCTCCCACCTCAGCCTCCCACGGCGCTGGCATTACAAGCTTGAGCCGCAGTCCTGGGCCACCGATTTCTTTAGATTCACACCCAAGTATTGCAGAATGGTCTTTTGACAGCTGCTCCTTCTTCCCACCCCAGAGTACTCCTACCCTACCCCACTGCAGACTGGCAGGTCAAGGCAGGTACACAAATAATTGCTGGCCACAATCATTAGAAACCTATATTGCACAGTTCTAAGCACTCTGGGTCCCTTAACTCACTAAGTCTTTAAAACCAGGCCATGAGCAGGTAGTATGTCAGTAACTTGCCCAAACCCGAACAGTAAGCCAGGGTTCCAGCCCAGGCAACCTGATTCTTGAAGTGCCTCTCAAGGGAAGATTATAAAAGAAGATCGGGGACAGGAAGCCATCATATAATTGCCTGTAAATTGAAGAGATCTCGAAGAAAAAATACATCTCTACCTTTCTGGAGAGTTCCTCAAATGCAGACAACAACTCTACCGGCCCACGGATAATCAAGCTAATGAGCTCTGCAGTGGAGTCATGTGGGCTTTCATCAAGGCAGCAAAAAGGTCGAAGGCTTTGGGTCTGCAAACAAAGTAGGGGTCTCATTCAGAAATGCAGGTAGAAAGAGAAAAGCGTCCTATCAAGCCACGAGAAAAGCCGCATCCGTTCAGATTAACATCAAGGCCTGATCTAGGTGTCAGCTCTGTCATCTACCTCATTCAGTGCCGGAGGAAGCTGGCTTTCCTCTCTTCCCCCCAGGAGATCCTAAAACAGGTATAGCGAAGGTAAACACATTTTTATGGGCTGCGTCAATCTAACAGATTCGATTCAGATTTTTATTTTTGTGCTTACTTTAGGGCATAACCAACAGTAAACCAGGTGGAGCTCTTTGCGCGATGCCCAACACACAGTGAGAGCTCCACCTGGTTTTTGCAGTAAGACTTCTAAGTGTTTCCCTTTGCAGCTTGTATGTGGTCCCATCAGAGAAACTCCATTCTCCTGCCTCCTGTTAGATTAACCACTCTGAAGTAAAGCACGTGGTGTAACTCCCTTGCTCACAAACCCTCTGTGACTCCTATTGCCCAGAAAAGAGCATTTAAACTCTTTAAGCTGATAGAATTGGCCTCACCTCTCTCTCCCATCGCCTTCCCCAGCGTATGCTTCAGCCAAGCTAAATCACCTGCAGCTGCCCCATGTCTGCCCCAGGACTTTGTGCTCTTATGATTCCCTTTTGCTGTTCCTCTGCCTAGTCTTGAGATGGCCGAAGCTGTAACCAATAGCCACACGTGAACGCATACATTAAAATCAAATTTTAAATTCTCTCCCCCACCACACTAGTCGCATTTTAAGTGCTCAGTAGCTGCATTTTGGATAGTGAAGATTTTTGCATGTTTCCATCATGGCAGAAAATGTAGCGAGACTGTGCTGGCCTCTAGGAGACGTCTAAATTTTAACTACCCTGATGGAACAGTCCAAATGTCACCAATGCCACAGCACTACTTCTGTGCCTCTTGAGCTGCAAGTTCCCATTCCCAAAGCAACAGAGGCCCTGCCAGCAATGACTCACTCACCTAACTGCCTACCACGAAGGCACCCACTGTCCCAGGCCACATGTCTCTCCGAGTGAAGCAGCCACGTGGGATATGGGTAGATATAGAGGTAGAAGGTCCAGGAATTAGGAAATTCCATTTTCTTGCTCTCACATTAGTTTGGAGCACCCAAGGCACCCTTGTAGGCACTTCACATACATTATCTCATTTGGCCCCTCACTCTATAAAGTAGACATTCTTATCCATCCCTACCTTACATATAAAAACACTGAAATACACTGTGGCCAAGTAACTTGCCCAAGATCACCCACCAAGAAATAATCAAATCAAATGCAGAGGCCAGATCTCCATGACTCAAAGTTGGGGCTTGTTCCATAAGCGGGCAGCCTGCCACCAAGCCTGTTGTATGATGCTGCCTTTGTGGCTTTGGAGCTAATAACATGATTTCTGGCAGCCCTCAGAAGTGGGAGTGTGGCGCTGAGGAGGGGTGGATACCCTGAACAAAGGACCAGAGTGTTGTGAGTAGAACTTCCTGAGCCTTGCATTCACGCAAACGTGTCACCTTGTTGCCATCTGACTTCTTAACTCTATAAGGTCGCAGAAGAATAAGTTGTGTGTGTGTGTGTTTGTGTGTGAGGATGTATAGTCTTAGTACAGGTATGTGGGGTACAGGGAAAAGTGTTAGGGGACATGAAACATATAATAAAAATATTATAAAACAAAGGTCTTTCAATATTTCTACATCGATGTGTCAAAACATTTTGCAGTATTAGGTAGAGTCATATGAATCTACCATATGTGTAAAAAAAAGTTGAATATTATCAATTTCCAATGATTCAATCCAATAGGTTTTAGTATGGCAACATGATTATTTTGGGGTCTAGACCTGAATTTAACACAATTCAAGAATGTAGGCTTTAAAACCCCTGTCAGACATGTCTCAGGTGCCAAAGTGGGACCCTCTGCCTGCAGCCCTCATCTGAACTTGGAAACAGGGCAACCAGGTGACCCTCTGAGCCTTCAACTCCATAGGGGCCCTGCATAATCTAAGCAGAGATGTACAATCCTCTCAAGACGACTGAGAGGCGGAGACCTGAGGAGAGAACATTAACATGTTTAAACAAAGAATATGAAGATGAGAAGAGGAGCAGGGTCTTGGTAGATCCTAGAATTTTGAAAAAGGAGAATTGCAGCCTGGGCCAGGCCAAAAGCTGGCCCCATGCTCTGGGCTGCAGGGAGAGCTCACCTGGCAGAGATAGACAAACCGGGCTAGGGGCTATTGAGGTCACTCAGCCTGATTCCTTAACCACAGATAACTTAGCTCCTCTTGTGGATTTTTCTTCAGGGAAAGCAATTCCTGCGCTTGGCTGGTCTTCCCTAAAAAAACGCAGCAATTTTGTTAAGGTTGTACAGAAACGAGGCAATTCCTGTCCCAGTTTCCGACTCCCGGAGCAAGTTTTCTTCTTCCCCAGGCAGTGGTAGAAAGAGAACGGCCGTAACGAAAGCTGGTTCTCCTTTTGTGAGGACCCGAGAAACCAAGCGTGCTTAGCTGAGTACAGAATTCTCAGGTCAATCCCAGGCTCTAGTACTCTGTGACATTTTTCTTCCTGTTAAACTGATGCCCACAGTCTATTGAGCACATTTAAGCAATCACCACAAGTGAAGCCACCTTGAAAGGTTAACAGCCTGTAACAAAGACAAAAATGAAAGGAAAGAAAAGTTTACTCTCGTAACTATCGATGGTCACGTGTCTTCTCATACAAGTGAGTTAATTCTGACCTACCAAAAACAACTCACTTTAAGATTTAAGTGTAGGCCGGACGCGGTGGCTCACGCCTGGAATCCCAGCACTTTAGGAGGCCGAGGCGGGCAGATCACGAGGTCAAGAGGTGGAGACCATCCTGGCCAACATGGTGAAACCCTGTCCCTGCTAAAAATACAAAAATTAGCCGGGTGTGGTGGCGCGCGACAGTAAACCCAGCTACTCGGAAGGTTGAGGCAAAAGAATCGCTTGAACCCAGCGGGCAGAGGCTGTGCTGAGCTGAGATCGCACCACCGCCCTCCAGCCCGGCGACAGAGCAAGACTCCATCTCAAAAAAAAAAAAAAAGATTTCAGTGTAGATATTTTTTTACATAATGTACGAGGTTTATTTTAGTTATCTTTACAAAAAGACTTTGAACTTTGCAAGAACGATCTCCATGGGCTGGAGTCCGTTTGCTCTGTGATAAATTGCCATTGAAACGTTGAGCTAATGTTTCAACATTCTCATTTAATACTTTTAAAACTTCGGTGGCCAAATCATCTCGTCTTCGGAATTTCCTAAAAATCTGGAAACCTTGGGGTTTAAATAATGTGTTTCTGTTACATATTTCTTACACTCAACTGTGATTTTTGCAATTACATTTTTAAAAATATTCATGGGAGAGCCTAGAAGCAGACTTAATCATCCAAACCGTATTCAGAGCCACAGAACAGGTCATTTTTTAATTTAAGATGTTGAGACAGACCTGTTATGAAAATACGCAAAAGGCTTCTCTTTGTTTTTCAGGAAAATGTAAATAAAGGGGCCCAGTGGCTTATGTTTTTTATAATGCCTAACTCCCAAAAAATTCAAAACGCAAGAGGATGTTTGAAGTCTGGTTAATATTCAAAAATAACCTCTGAACAGTCCGGTCTTTCTTTGAAAGACAAAGAAAATAAATCCCACGGAAGGGAGTTGCCTCCGCAGTAATTTCTTAATGTGGTCCAGCAGGTATCACCATCATTAACTAGATTACCTGATGGCATCTGATCCCCAGGCTCTGCCTCCATCCTGGGCCATGCCTCAGCCTCCTCCTCCAAAGATGGCTGCTGATGCTGATGGTGAGACCATGGGTAACAGTCAGCGGACCGGATATGCAGCAGGCACTCCTGCTTCCCTCTGCTCCTCTCCTCGAATGTTTCTGGCCTCAGCACTTAGACCGTCTGTCTGCACAGTAAGACTGTGACGTCTTGTCCCAAGGGTTAGGGACAATAATTCAGATAACTGTGATCTTTCTGCACCTAAACTGAAGTTGTCTCACAATCCCACTCCAAACAAAAATGGGTTATTTTGAAGCCTGAATACTGGTGGGCTTCGGACACGGGGAACACGCTTAACTTTTCCAGCCCGATGGCAATGTAAAGAGATAACGTGGATAAAGTTCATTAAATAAGCAAATCTGCCAAGATGTGCTTTTATTGGATGCAAGTGTGCGTGTGCGTGCACACATGTGTGTGTGCATGTGTGTGTGCGTGTGTGTGTGCATGTATGTGTGTGCGTGTGTGTGCATGTGTGTGTGTGTGCACGCACAGTTGCAGGAAATGAGCGGGACCAGTGCTTTGGTGGTGTGATCTGTGCAGTCACAGGGCCCCCACCTTGGTTTACCACTGCTGCGTTGATTTTCTCAATAACTTTGAACAAGGAGCCACCACCACATTTTCTTTTTGCACCAGGCCCTGCAAATGATATAGCCAGTCCTGAAAATGAGGGTCTCCCCTCGGTTCTTGGGGAACTTCTAAACCACCAAGTAGAAGACCCAGGCCTTGTTATTCCTGCATCCTTCCACTTCAGCTGGATTTTTTTTTTTTTTTTTTTTTTTTGAGACAGAGTTTCGCTCTTGTTACCCAGGCTGGAGTGCAATGGAGCGATCTCCGCTCACTGCAACCTCCACCTCCCGGGTTCAGGCAATTCTCCTGCCTCAGCCTCCTGAGTAGCTGGGATTACAGGCACGCGTCACCATGCCCAGCTAAGTTTTTGTATTTTTAGTAGAGACGGGGTTTCACCATGTTGACCAGGATGGTCTCGATCTCTTGACCTCATGCTCCACCCACCTCTGCCTCCCAAAGTGCTGGGATTACAGTCTTGAGCCACTGCGCCCGGCCTCAGCTGGATTTTTACTCAAGGCATTTATTACTAGCATGTTCTCAAACTAGAAAAGGGTAGCACAGTGGCAATGTTGGCAGACAAAACAGTTGATGATGCGGTGATTGTACTGGAGTTATTTGCATTAAGATAAAATATTAGCAGGGCCGGGAACCCTGGCTCATGCCTAGATCCCAGCACTTCAGGAGGCCAAGGGGGACAGATTGCTCGAGGTTAGGAGTTTCTAAGCCTGGACTATATGGCTAAATCCCCATCTCTACTGAAAATCCAAAAAATTAACCAGGCATGGTTGTGCACGCCTGTAGTCCCAACTACTCAGGAGGCCGCGGCAGGAGAATCACCTGAGCCCGGGAAGTTGAGGCTACAGTGAGCTGTGATTGCACCACTGCACTCCAGCCTGGGCAGTGGAAGTGAGATGTTATCTCCCTCCCCTTCCCCCCAGAAAGATAAAACACTAGCAGGCAGCTAAGATAGTTGTTTCTATGTTCTGAGGTCAATTCCCTTATACTTGAGGCTCTACTATATGCCAGGCACCATTTTAGGTGCTGAAAACACAAAAATAAACAAAAGAGACAACGAACCTTGCTCTAATGGGGCTTATATTCTACTTGGGAGAAATACACAATCAGTTAAGCCTTATAAATAAAGTGATCATCTGCAGAAAAACAGAGCAGAGAAGAGGCAGTGGAAACGATTTTAAATAGGAGGATCGGGGAAGAACTCAATGAGAAGATGGCATTAGAGCCAAGCCTGGAAGGAAGTAAAGGCACGTGTTGTACACTCTCTGGCTGAGAGACAGACAGTGCAGAGGTTCTAAGGCAGGTGTGTGCTATTTGAGGAAGAGCGAAAAGGGAGAGAGAAGAAGAAAGAGGAGAAAACGCTGAAGGTATGCATGTACTGAGAGCCCCATCTTGCACAGACTCGTAGGCCACAGTTAAAAACTAGTAAGCCAAGTTTTGTAATGAGAGTTTATAAAAACTCTTAGAAGGGAAGTGATTGAAGGGCTCGGAGCCTGGGATTGATGACCTGGCAAGATTTAACAAGACTATTCTGGCGGCTGCCTGCCGAGGTAACAAGGCAGCTAGGATGAAATCAGGAGACCAGGCAGAAGAGTACCAGGTGACTGGCTGGGGAGGTGCTTCCGAAATGGCTAGATTTGGGGTTTATCTGGAAGGTAGAGCCATCAAATTTGCTGAAAGACAAGTACAAACAAGAGCAACCACAGCAAAAATAATAAGATCTTTGACCTCGTCCTTCAGTTAGCCTGACTTCCCACAGGCTCGGCTATCAATGTTACCTCAGTGCGTCTTCACAATAACCCTGGGTAAAGAATTATCATCCGCATATTGCAGATAAGGAAACTGGGGCTCAGAGAGTTTATGTAACTCGGTGAGAGCTATTAGTAGAAAGATATTAATCTATGTAGACCCAAAACCTTATTGGCACATCATGCAGGGAAGATGCTAGTTTTCAGCATCAACTCAGAAAAGAAGAAGATAAAAGAGAGCAAGAAAAGCCTGATTTGGACTCTGAAATTTCTCCTCTGTTTAGCAGCTAAAAGGGTTGCTAGTAATGAGCTAGCACTGGGGCACCATAATGAACTTTGTGCTGGGAAAATGAAAGATTTCCTACCAGGCACCAACTTAGGAGAAATGAGCTCACCTAGCTCGTTGAAGAATTTTAACAACCACGGAATTGTGCCAGTAGGATGGAACCTGAGCCAGATCGATACTGCCGTGGATTCATACACAAAGGGCCAGACTCCGGGAGCCAGGAACTGCTTCCAGGGGCCGTGGTGAATGGAGACCTGACCTACCGTGAATGACTCAAATGGCTCTAGAGTTGACTGGAAGCTTTCGCCCTGGGGGCGGAATGGACCTTAGAGATGCATCTGCCATCCCAGTGAGAAATGCAGGGGAGGGGTGAGGAACTGTCAGCTGGAAGTGAAGGATGGGCAAAGGGGCTGGGAGTGAGACCTGGGAACCCAGTTGGGGGGGACAGTTGTAAAGCAGCTGGCTCATTTCAGCCAGACTGAGAGTGTCCTCATCACAGAATACCTCTGGGATCAGCCGTCGTGGCCCGTGGAGGACTGTCACCACGTGTATCCGCCACAGTTCATTGAAAAGTCAGAGCTTGTGTTTCCCACCTTGGGGGACAAGGAAGAGAATATAGCTCCCCCCAGAAATAAATGAAGTGAGATGCTGTTCTGATGACGACTGCTGCCTCCCCGAACCTAGTGGCATCAAGCTACCAATCTGCTATGTTCATGGGTTCCATGTGCCAGAATCCTGAGCGGGCACAGTGGCACAGTTGTCTTTACTCCCTGATGTCTGGGACCTGGACTGAGGAGATACAAAGGCAGGGCTGAGGGTGGTGATGTGGCCTGACAGCTGTGGACTGGCATCAGCTGGAAAATCCTTCACTCTGTCCTTCACTCGAGTGGTGTATGGTTGCTGTTGGTTGGGACCTCACTTGGGACTGCTGGCCAATGCACGGCCTCTCCACGTGACTTGGGCTTCCTCAGGGTATAGCAACCCCGTAGTAGTCAGATTTCTCACATGGAGCTGCAGTGACTTTTCTGACCCAGCCTGAGAAACCTTGCCGTCACTTCTGCTGCATTTTCTTGCCTATAAATAAGCAGGTCTCAAGCCCACTTCGACTCAAGGGGAGGGTTACATTAAACCCCCTCTCACTGAGACAAGTATCAAATAACTTGTGTTCATGTTTGAAACCACCACAGCAAAGCTTAAAATATCCTGGCATTTGGGAGTTGCACTTACCCTGAGGTCTGGGAGAGAGTGGGAAGGTGCCGGGAACGGCAGCAGGTACCCGGGCTCCTTTTGCTCTCCTCCCCTCACTCATTCTCTGAAACCCTGTGGATTCTGCCCCACCTGACTTGGTGCCTTTAAAAGTGCATTATTTTACTCATGGTTCATTTGAGTCTACAGTCCCGTTCTCTTTCTCCCTCGCTCCTGTTTGCCGCAGCAGAGGTGCGTTCCTCCCTGCCTTACCACAGTGGTTAGAATTCCTGCTGCGGAGTGTAAGTCTCGACTCCACGAATGGTAACCTCTGACTGTGGACAAGTAGAGCGAGCTCTTTGAATCTCAGTTTTATAAGGACTAAATGGGATGATGCCTGGCAGAGAAAAGCCACTTAGGAGATGTAAGCTGACCTGATTGGAAACTGCTCCAGCACCACTTTACCACTTTATTTTATCTCTTTTTTTTTTTTTTGAGACGGAGTTTCGCGCTTGTTACCCAGGCTGGAGTGCAATGGCGTGATCTTGGCTCACCACAACCTCTACCTCCTGGATTCAGGCAATTCTCCTGCCTCAGCCTCCTGAGTAGCTGGGATTACAGGCACGCGCCACCATGCCCAGCTCATTTTTTGTATCTTTAGTAGAGACGGGGTTTCACCATGTTGACCAGGCTGGTCTCGAACTCCTGACCTCAGGTGATCCGCCCACCTCAGCCTCCCACAGTGCTGGGATTACAGGTGTGAGCCACAGCGCCCGGCCTTTCTTTATCTCATTTTTTAAACTATCTTCCCACTCCTTACACTTTGTCCACAGTCTTGGTGTAAACAGATCATAGTCACACCCTGGCTCATACGTCTACTAGGTCGATGCAAAAGCAATTTTTTTCAGTACTTTTAAAGGCAAAAACAGTGATTACTTTTGCACCAACCTAATAACTGTGGCCCCTCAGGCTGTTTCTTTGCCCCTCTTAGTGTCAGTGTTGTTATATGTGTACAGAAGACAGTATTCGAGTCTTTCGGGAGCGGGGTAGATAAATGAGATTATTCACATAGAGCAGTGCTCCCGCACCAGGCTCTGGCGATGGCCAATTCCCTGCCTTGTCTTGTTTCAACACTGCTTCCCTTCATACATCATGCGCTTCCCTGAAATGAGCAAAGTTCATTCTCCTAAAGATTCAGAACTTTCTCCCCAGCTCCAGCTCGTAAACCTCTCCCATCAATAATCATTCCCAATTTCCCAGTCTCTCACCATGAAAATTCAACTCTCTCAGCCTTTTATGAGGGGAGGTTGCTTGGAGATTGTGTGGTCCACCTGATCCTTGAGAAGAAAGCCAGCAAGACAGCTTAGGTTAGGCAGGGGGCAGCCCCGTGTCAGTCACCGTTGGCTGCCTTGCCTGGGGGCTGGGATAAATATGTCAGCCCCGGGCTGGCTCCAGCCCCCTGGTGGGGAAGCTGACACCCACGTGCTGGAAGGAACATCCCCCTTACTGTGGGACAGGGACTCAATTTCCAGCCTTTGTGGAGAAGGAGCAAGCGAGGTGCTAGTGTCAAAGCCTGGGGCTTTCTCACTCAGGACTAAACCGGCAGTGGTGGGGGCAGCGGCTGGGGTGTGAGTCCTTCTCGCAAGGAAGGAAAAGCTTTCAAAAATTCTCCTTCTGAATCGGGTAGGCCTTAAGCGATCCTAGCCTTCTGCGTGGGGTCTTTGCCCAAATACTCATCACAGCCGCAAACGTGTTAAACATGTTCCCTGGCAGCCCAGCAGAAATCACTCCCTTCCCATGACTGTCAACTTTCCACCTTCCTTTTTTTTTTAATTGGAGATTTATTGGTGAAAGGAATCTGAAGTATAGTTCCGGCGTTTACATTCCTGAGACCCAGTGAGGAGACACAGCTCCCGGGAAAAGGCTGCCCAGAAACTTGAATGTGCCTCCTCCCTCTTGTTTCTTCCTCCAACTTCTTTTAGAGAACAAGAGGTCGAAGGTGTCATCCTTTTTCTTACATTGACCCATGCCTGCATGGCTTTATCCACCTATCCCTTCAACAAGCACGTAATGAGCACGTATGATGTGCCCGGCCATGTGACCCATCTTGGGAAATTCAGGGTAACTTAAGCAGGATCCAGCCTTGAAGAGGCTCCCTGTGTGTTTGGTGAGGGGTGGTGTGATGGCCGAAAATGTCATTGGGTGTTAAAGTGCTGTGGCGGGGCCAGAGAATGCAGCCATGTGGGAGGACCCACAGCTTCTGGTCATGAGTGAGAGACAAGTGGGTCTGTGCTATGTGGAAAACAGCAGCAGACTATTTCTACAAGAAGGGGCAGCAGGGACAAGGCATGACGCAACATGAGCCTCTGAAGAACCACAGGTCCTTGGGGGCAAGAAGGGGCCACCCGGAAACTCAGCTGGACACCCCGGCTCTGCCGGAACATGCCATGCCACAGGATCTGGGCTTTCCTCCAACCCTCCAAAGAGCTGCTCTTCCAAATCAGAGCAGCTGGCAGGTTACTTTCTGACAGCCACACCCATGGGCATGGACCTGGTGTTTCCTCAGTTTCCCCCATCTGCAAAACATAAAATGAATTCTTCTCCAAGGCCTTGCACGGCCTGGATGAGCTTCACAGAAAGTATGATGTGGCTTCCAGCTTTCATCTGCTTTATTGGTTCATGAGTGAAAACGTTCATTTATTTTTATGGGACACATGGGCTTAGTGATTTTTTATTATTAAAAATGAAATTCTTAAGAAAAATGCAAAACTTTGGTTTCACAGCTTCCTACAATATTACATTTGGATTCTGTGTCTCTCAGGCAAAGACAAAGAGCTGAATGACAGTGGACCATGTGGGTTTCTTTTGAAATAAAAATGAATGTGGGTTATTTTTCCCACTCCTTCCCTATTCCCACAAACAGAGACTCATGACCATTTCACTTCAGTTTTCCAGGGAGCTGACACCCAAGTAATGAGCCGGCTGGTTGCTTGAATAAGTAAAGCTGGTTGTGTCAACCTGTGACCACCCAGGATGTACATTTTGACAAATACTACCCACGAGGAGGGAAGAGGAGACAGCGGCCCCGCTCTCCAACCCTTCCTGGTTGTTCGTACTTTTTAGCCTCAGATCCCAGAGAACTAGGACCTTCTGCTTTTATACCGAGGCAGACCTGTGTCTGCCTTTACTCTGGCACTGGGATGAGGGATAGGAGTGGATGTGTGGATGCTATGGTGATGTCAGCCCACAGTGCTGGGAGAAAGACTAGGCTTTGGAAAGAAATGAGCTTGATTAAGAGGTTGGATGACATGGGGCAGTGATTCTTCAAAAGGGATTCATGAAGACCTTGCATCAAAACAACCTTTGTTGCTCGCTTAGAATGCGGATTCCTCTAGTAACAAACTATAGAAATGATCCCTGAAAGTACTGCGATCTTTGGAGGAGTCAGTGCCTCACTCCAGCAGTGAGTGCCTACTGTATGCAGGAAGTCAGCCAGGCAAAGGGGAACTGACGGTCTCATGGGGGAACCCACTTGCTGGAGGCCAGGTAGCAGAGGCTGCCCTTGCTGCTGGTTGGAGAGGGAGACTTCTTTTCATTGGTTTTAATTTAAAAACACAAAGGCCTAAAGAAATACGTATCTTATAATTTTTTTTTAATTTTTGAGAAGCTCATTTAATGAATTGTGCACGAATGAATTCTATATATATATAATATACATATATAGCTCTATATTTGGGGAGGAGCACTGTCTCTTTTTTCTCATTTTTAAAATGAAGTGTTGTTGCCTTTGTCTGTGGTTCAACCATCCAGCTCCCAGCTGGCTAAACTTTGCCTCCAGCGGTCAAAGATGGGAAAATAGTGGGGTTGGCAGGGGACGGGAAATGGAGGTGCTGCCCCGGCATGGGGGGCAGGCCCCCCAGTCCGCCCTGCCCCTCCCGCAATGGAGAAGATGCCTAATTGGGGGTGTGGGTTTGGGCTCCATTCTGGATTTGGTGGTTCCGGGGGAGGGGTGGGTCTGTGCCGATTACTCTGTCTTGTCCGTTTCTTCTGCTGCTCTTCAATATTGTATCAACGCCAGGAAAGGGGGGTGAAAAGCCTCTTTTACCCCCCGAATAAATTGTCACATTCCGAAGCTGAGGCCTAGCCCCTAGGTTGGGGTGTGTCAATCTCTTCTTCAAAAAAAAAAAAAAAAAGAATGCAGATTCCTGGGACTCCACCTCAGTTCCCGAATGGAACCTTTGGGGAATGGGGGTGAAGTAGAGGAATCTGCGTTTTTTACCAGGCCCCTAGGGAGCATTGGATGATTACTCTGGGTCAGACAGGAGGGAAAAGCCCAGATACTGTCACTCATTAGCTGAATCACCTTGTCAAACCTCAATTGCCTTCACCCATGTGATAGAGATAACTTGTGTCGGTGGGACTATCTGTACCAGTAGAACATGGTTGGCCACGATAAACGGTATTTCCAATCTTTAAAAATAATAAAAGCATTCATTCACTCACGTAACCAGAAATCCCGGGAGAGTGGTCTTACAGCAGGTAGATTCAGCGTTCAAAGGCTGCAGGAGTCTGTCTGCAAGCACTGTCTCCATTTGTGCAATTCAGCTGTGGTCACTGAACAGTCCCATGTGTCCTGGCCCAGGACCTTGGCTTCCTATTCCATCTGTGCTGTGTGGAGCGTGTTGTCATTTTGGTAACATGGCTCAAATCTTTTCTGCATGGAAAATTAGGTAAACACAAGTAAATAAAAAATATGGGGAACTCAGACATGCTCATTCTACTCTCACTCCACAGGGCAACCTCACTCCATGTGAATGGGCAGCTGGCTGCCCTTGTGCAGTTTCCCGGTTGGGGTTAACAAGAATGAAAATCAAAACAGACCAGGCTCAAAGCCTCACCCCACCCCGTCTCCACTCAGGGAAGGGCTGAGAGTCAGGGGAGGAAGTAGGAGGAGATCAAGGTAATGGGTCTTGTGGATAAAACAGAAAAGGAACTGTGGGCGGCTCTCTTGGGGAGCCACAAGGCTGGCACTACGCGATAACCAGTCTAGACTGCCTTCTGAGGGCTGAGACAAACGCCCACCCACTGCAGCCTGACCCAGCGGCCCACCCCTTTGCCGTGGCTTCCCAGCTGCTGCCACCATGGAGTTGTCAGGAAATTTGTGATAATTCTTTTTATTGATCGTCTCTATTGATTTTGTCTATGGTGAAAATATACTGCAGACACATTAAGTAGCTATTATAGGTAAATTGTCTTTTAATGAATTGTGCCAACAGACAGGATTTTACGGTTGACCCTAACTGGAACACAGAGAGTTCTTCTCAGACACTGATGATCACAGAGGAACTAGATGCTAGTGCAGAAGCCAAGCTGACACTGGACCATGGAGAGTCACCTGGATGCCGCTGGGACATGCAGAAACCTGCCCGAATGGACGAGCCGGATAAGCGTGCGAATCATCATCAAGATCACACAGTGATGAATCCTATGACTGCACTTCAAAAGCATCCAAATTTTTCCATTTTCGCAAACTATAAATATTTGCCGATTAGTCTCCATATTTCAAAACTCCAGCAAAAAAGGTGGGGGGCATCACCTTAGAATGAACTCCCTGTCTTGTCCCACATCTTAAAACCAGGTTATTGCTTTTGAGAGACTAGAAGAAAGCAAGACTTCAGCACCTTGTCAAAGGGCTGCTTCTTTCTTCTTCATGCAGTTTTTTGTTGGTTTTATTTTCTAAAAAAATAAAACAATGTGTGTGTGTGTGTGTGTGTGTCTGCATTTTGGCAAAACTGTATTGAGAAGAATCCTTGGAAGCTTCAATCGAATCTGCCAAATTATAGCCAGTACAAGAATTTGTCACTTTGTTATCACATCCTCAAAGGAGGGCTTGAAATAGAAATGTCGCTTCGTGGTGGTGCTAGCAGAGTGCTCAGTTACCAGAAGCGAGACTTTGGCTATTATTGTTTTACAATGTAATGGGCAAAAATCATCATAAAAATATGCGATCTCTGATGGGAAAATGCTCCCTTGCCAAACTTTTGAAAATTGCGATTTCAACGGTTTGGCAGGAAAAAAAAAAAACCCCTGTATTTTGACAGAAATGAATTATGGCTACAGGCATTGAATACAAAGGCCAATGTCTCAATTGTATTTGAGTTTTTGTCTTAAGGGGAACAATCATTTAGGGCTGGTCACATGATAAAACTTCTCTTTTCTTACACAATCTACGGGAAATAGAGTAGCCCTTCCAATTCTCACTGGCCAACACCCCAGAATCCTCTTGGTACAAATCCAAAGGAGGGCTCCTCTCCAAATCAACAGAACCCAGGCTGCTGCTTAGATTGTGTGGACTGAACACTAACCATAGGCCAGGCTCTGGGCTCACAGCTTTGGTCCTTCTGCTCTTCCGACTCTCAACAGAGCCTCTGTCCCAAGGCTATTTTGCCTCTTGGTTATAAGACGGCTGCCTGCAGCATTCATCTGTGTCCTGATTCCACCCAACAGGACAAAAGCAAGAAAAGAGCAGTTTCTCCCAGCGTGGGATGCAAAGGATTCCTGTCTGCATGGTTGAGTCAATTCAATCACGTGTCCTCTCCCACACAACTGCAGATGCCAGGGAAGGACCACAGGTTTCTTCGTTTCCATTGCTCAGAACCTGCCTCTGGATATGGACACCTAGATGAACCTGGGGCTCTGCTTAGCAATCAGGAATTGGACATCAGGTGGGCAATCAAAGGTGACTGCTACATGGTCTTATTTAGGGCTTACTATGCAGTGCGCATGACTTTGGTTGAAGAAGTTGGGACCTGCAGATATTAACAAATGTGCCGAAGTTGACACAGCCGATATGATAAAGTCTGGGTTTGAACCCAAGCACATTGAATGGGGAAAGCTCGTGCCCTTCACCTCATCACTTCGCTGCTTCCTGTTAGTCAGCGTTCCAGGGCTGTGCTTCCAATATTTTTCTTTATACATGCTTATCGTCTATGCCACAAAATATGACATTTTTCTGTTAGTAATTTAAACAGCAGAAGTAGAAGCCAATGGGATGTAAGCAATTGATTATGTGCTCCATTATTGCCTTCATGCATCTGTTGCTACACTTCACGTTTGAACATAGCTATGGTAAAGAATACTTTTCAAAATTAGGTAAAACCATAATCTCATGCAGGTATAAGATGAGCGCATGTTAAGTAAAATGAAGGAAACAGGTAGATGTTATAACTAATTCAAAGAAGAAGCATAAAGGAATGTTGAAACGAAAGCAAAAATGGGACAGAACTGACTTTTTCAGAAAAAGAGAGTGCTGTTCCTCCACGGGACAGAATTCATTTACATGTGCATAGGCAAGAATTATTTGGAACTGAGATCAGTGGTCTACAATTTCACAGAGCTGTGGAATAGCTCCCATAGAATCAGTATCTGATAACCTGGAGGGGTGTGTGTAGACAATGCATAGTTTTCCACTGAACCACAATTTCTTCCCTATACCACAAACATTCACTTTCTCACGACTTTACAATTTGGGCTGGATTCGGCTGGGAAGGTCTGCTAGCTTCACCTGAGATCACTCCTGTGGCTTAACTGAGCCTGGATAGCCACCCCAGTTGGTACTAGTTCTAAAATGTGTACCCACAGGGTTTTAATTTACAGAAGAGACTGAGTGACAACATGGAGAGGTTAATGACCTTGAGAGAAGATTTTTATTACTTATATTTCTCCAGAGAAGGGGCACAGCACCTCACGTAGGGCCATGTGGCGAAGACCCACGTTCTGATTTAGAGGCGGAAACAAGAGTAGGCGGGAAGCCAAGCCCTGAGCCTTTACTGAGATTTTTACAAAAAGGCAAGGCAAGACAGAGTCAAAGCTTAGAATCACCTCATCTGAATAATTCTGGGGGACTCTGAGACATACAGACTGTCCCTGGTTGTCTGGGCCCTGGGTTGATTTAGGACAGAGGAGATACTGACTTGGTGTGTGGGAGTTAGCTGAAGGGATGAAGGGACAGCACTTGGCCGAGCAGCCTTTACGTGGAAGACTAACACCCCCAGGAATGTGCTAGGTCTGCAGCGGGCAGTGTCTCTCCAGGTCTAAGGGACCTGCAAGAGATCCAAACATCCAAACAATACAGAAAACAAAAAACACGATTAATACAGTGCTGCCATCAGCTGAGCCACCCCCATTCTCTAGGTGGGCTCTCATTATCCAGTCCACTTCACTGGATGTCGCTATGGCAGCTGAGATCCAAGATGGAGGGCAGCAGCTGGCAAGACCTCTGGAGGCCAAGGCTCAGAAATGACACAGTGTCACTTACCCTGCATTCTAAAGGTCTAAGCAAGATGAAAGGACAGCCTGGACCCACAGGGTGGAGAGAGAATCCTCTTTTTCATAAGACGAGCCACAAAGAATCAATGACCATAGTTAATCTACCCATAGAAACTTACGGAATAACACACCATATTTTCTTGGAATTGCTTGTTGATATGGCCAACTCACATATTCACACACTAAATAAGATTCTTGTGGGAGGAGACTGTGCCTTATTTCTATTTGTACTCAAGGGCCTGAGATCCATCAAACACTAGTGGCCTGCCCAAAGCTAATGGATGGGAAGATCATTCGGTTGGATAGAATTAAACGAGCAAAGATAAGGAAGCAAGAAAATACAAGAACTGTTCAATTCCCCAAAGTTGCTAATTTAGTGTATGACGGAGAGCAGAAAACAAAGGTTAGAAGAGCCCTGTATTCAAGCCAAAGGACTTGGACTGAGTGCTTGGGAAATAGGGTACCATGGAAGGTCTTTGAGTGAGAGAATGACTGGTACTGATGCGCCCCTAACATTGCTTGAACTAACTGGTGGCTGGGCTGAGGGGCCAGTTTAATCATTTTGCCACAACAGATACAAATGCTAGGGGACACAGGGGCTCCCTTACCTGGCCAGGGATGCAGTCAGTTGTCTTATGTGTCAGCTTCTCGTCTCATCAGCTCTGCTGCAGAATGGCCTGAGTCAACTTGATCATTCGCAATTGTCCATTTCGTGTCGGTGGATTGCTTTAGCCTCTACAGAGAGCTGCAAGTCTCTCATACCCTCAGTAGCAGATCATAGGTAACAATGAAATCAGGTCTCTGACCACATCTGCCTCATGAAGAAGCATTTATTAACATATAGGCCCAAAACTGTCACAGAATCTGCTCATGTAAGTCCAGGGAGACATCGCTGCATTTTTCAGACACCCTGAGAAATAGCCGGAGAAATAGCCTGCTTGAGGGTTTTACTTGGGGCAAAGGCCACCATGCTCTAATGGTAGATCTTAGCTAACATGAGTCCAGTCAGGCCACATAATCCATGTGTATTATGGCCAAATCTAGGACCGAATGAGAGTCCTAGGCCTAGGGTACCATTTGGGAGAGTGTAGGGCTCTGGGCTTTTCACATTCTTATGCCTCTCATCCAAAAACAGAGGTATTCTGCTTTCCATTATTTCCAGTCAACTCACATACTTTATACAGCACTCCTTTCACAGATGTCTGCATGTCTAATATTATTTGTGTTGTTTCAAAAATGCCCTGATATAAATTTTTAAGCTTTATTGAGGTATAATTCACATACTATATAATTCACCTATTGTTAGATCAACTAATATAGATCAAACCGTGATCCCTGCAGCTTTCGTGTATTAGTTATGCACTGTTGTTGCATAGAAAATTACCCCTAAACCTAATGGCTTAAAACAACATTTATTATCTCAGTTTCTGTGGGCCAGAAATCCACACAAGTTATCAGGGTCCTCTGCTTTGGGGTATCTCACAAGCTGCAGTCAAGGTGTCAGCTGGGTCCATGGTCATCTCATGGCTCGACGCAGAAGGATCAGCCTCCAAGTTCCCTTGAGTGGTTGTTAGGAGGATTGGGTTCTTCAGGCGCTGTTGGATCGAAGGCCTCAGTTTCTCTCTGGCTGGAGGCTGCTTTCGTGGAGGCTCGCCGTGTGTATCTCTCCAACACGGCAGCTTGTTTCATCAAAGCCAGCAGGCCTGGAAGGCAAGAGAGGCAGTGCGGGCAAGATGGAAGACACGATCTTTTATAACCTACTCTCTCGGAGCAACTCAGCACTTTTGCTATGTTCTATTAGTTCAACCAAATCGCTTGGTCGGGCCTGTTCTCGAAGGTAGAGGATTACTGCACAAGGGTGGGAACACTGGGAGGCTGCCTGCTGTAACTTACACCTTCCCATGGACTCTCGATGAGAGTCTTTCCGATGTCAACCAGCCACCCTCTTCTTTACGTACAGAAGCAAATCAACACAAGTATTTATCACCTTGAAGTCTATGTTTAAATATTTTAGGCCGGGCGCGGTGGCTCACGCCTGTAATCCCAGCACTTTGGGAGGCCGAGGCGGGTGGATCACGAGGTCAAGAGATCGAGACCATCCTGGTCAACATGGTAAAACCCCGTCTCTACTAAAAATACAAAAATTAGCTGGGCACGGTGGTGCATGCCTGTAATCCCAGCTACTCGCGAGGCTGAGGCAGGAGAATTGCTTGAACCCAGGAGGTGGAGGTTGCGGTGAGCCGAGATCGCGCCATTGTACTCCAGCCTGGGTAACAAGAGCAAAACTCCATCTCAAAAATAAATAAATACATAAATAAATAAATATTTTAAAGTCAGTTGCAGACAAAGCAATAAGTAGTGCTACTCTATTTGCCCAAGACACCAAACTACGTTTTTAAAACTTTCTATTAAAAATAATTTTATTTCTCAGTAGAGTTTCCTATGATCCACAGTCTTTATGTTTATCTTACCAGTTTTACGGGCCTTGTTTCCAAGTACGGCTTGTAGAGACGCAGAACAGGTTAAGCTAAAAAAAAATAAATGGGCCCAAGTCTTGAAAAGTTGAGTTTTTCTTCTGATTACAAAATCTTTAAATCCACAAAAAGGGACAACACGAAGTCACTGAGGTTGCCAGAATTCTAGCTGGAAAGGACAGTTGACATTGAGGTCATTCTTTCTAAGAAAATAGCCCTAAATTTTTGGTCTATCTTGAGTGGAGGAGGGAAAAAAGAACAACAGGATTAATTCTACTAAAAACAATCTACTCTCTCTTTGGTATTAGAAAACATAAACTGTATATTTTGATAAGAAAGAAAATACACTTATTCGGGATGTAATCTTTAAAACCTGACATAAAATTGACAATTTCTGCTGTGTGACTTGGCGAATGCAATAAAATCGTCTTTGTGTAGGTGAGTTCCGCGCACATCTCCTGTGAGCCTGCATTACGAAGGGTGATAGGAGAGGAGATAATGGACTCTCGCCCCTGCACAAGATCGGGTTTCTTGGAAATCCTTTGCTTTATTCAAATATGACTTGGATAAAAAAAAAATATTCTTGGGGTACACAAACCACAGAAGGCTTTTGGATGGAACACACTTTCAAAAATTAAATGATTCCAATCTTGCAAAGTTTCCGTTGGATTCATGTCCTTATAAAAGTCATTTTTACTCAACTTGGTAATTGGAAGGTCATATCAAAAGTGAACAGACTGCAAACTTGTCGATCGTATCATTAAGCAGTCAAACTTATAAAATTGCTCACTATTAAGAGAAGGTATAGCCACTCAATGTTGTTGGTAAAATCACTTTTTTCTAAAAACAGCAACAAACAACAATAGCAAATTTGAAAAATGGCTAAAATGAAAAGCAAAACGATTCAGATCCATCAACTCATGGTAGGAGAATAATACTGTGACAGAAAACAACAGGAAGACGGAGGCTTCTGTTTCTTTTGATGTAATTATAAGCACCTTGAGAAATGTCAGATTGTCTATTGAATAAAATCCATGTCAATCTGTCACATAAAAATACAACTTTTTTTTCTTTTTTCATAATCTCATGAAGTCAAGGCATTCCCTGGGCTTTGAGCTCGTTCCGGTGAGAAACAAAAAGACCTTTATGCAGCTATTCATTTTGAGGCATAAATAACCAGAATCCCAGATAAGAAAATTATATTTACAGCCTAACTTTATTATTTTGAAATCGTTGTTTTTCTCCTTAGCAGGTCAGCTGCACATTTTATCATGCCTGGCTCAGCAATATGTTCTTGGCTTCAGAAACATTGATGTTGAAAATTGAACATCTGGCCTTCCCTTTCTAACCCCCCTCTTCCATTTCTCCCCCAAATAATCAGCATTTCCTCCTTGGCTTCCCTGGCTTGAGTAGCTTTAAAAACTTGAATTCGGTGTATATTATATTAGATTTGTCTGGTTTTGAGCCACTCTGATCCTACCTCCAGTTCTGAAAAGGTCTCAGCAGTGCCATGTCTGTTGTCCCTTTTTATAAACCACTTAAAAGAAAGATGAGCTGTTATTCTGATGGGTGGGATTAATTGGTCACTAGTAAAAGAAATTATATCACTGCCCAAGATCAGAATCCTATTTCTTTCCTCTCACCTCTTATGGATATTTTTAAAGCACACGGCAGTGGAAATCTTCCCATAATGACATTCTAGACCTGAAGCTTGTTATTATTCTGGACCTGGGACTGAATGCAAAATGCAATGTGTATGTGGTATGCATGTTTTCTTTTACTTGACTCTAATAAGTTTCTGAAAACTATCTATAAACTTAATATTTTAAGAACCCCATTTCTAAGCCAAGAAGATTCATCAGTGACTCTGTATAACCCCCCAAATTTCCTTCTTGAATCACTGCTGATTTTCCCACAGTGTGAGGGGTACTGCTGACTATAAACTTGTCGGGTGAAACAGAGAGAAGCGGCAGATCCAAAGTGATCCCACAGCATTCCCAAACGCATCCAAAATACCGGAGTGCAGGATGCAACCAGGATTACTTGAATTCCGTTTGGATCCCCGTAATTCCATTCTTTTTAAAAACAGGTCATTCTTTTCTTTATTATAATGAAACATTCTTCAATAATTCTTGCCTCTCCGGTGGAAGATGCTTTTGAAAAGCAAGACTTTGGTTGTATATTTTTTCTGGATTCTCTAGCGATGTATCTTGCTGCAATCATTGAAAAATATCATGCTCTCTCTGGGGTCTTCACAGTCAATGGTAACTCAACATTTGATTGGGAAATATACTTTCTGTGGACTTTTTCAGGGTCGCTGAGATGTGAACAGAACCCAGCAGAACCCACTTCTGCTGTTTCTTTTTAAAGTAGGGCTGAGAATGGAAATAACGCTTTTCTAAGTGCAAGTGAACTTCGGCTTTCAAGAGATGCTATAGATTTCTGAGGGAGCGAGGGCATGTGTCTGGAACCCAGCACCTCCATGTGGTTCACGGCTTCTAAAATCTATCTCATGTGTTTAAGGTTTTCTGTGTAAATTTAAGGGACTTCACATTTCCAGCCAGTGTGTTAACGCTTAGATTAAGACCATACTTACACGCCTTTTTCTTACTTATAAGCAATTAAATGATGTACTAACATGAAAAGTTACTAATTACAGTGCTGATGAAAAAGTACTGGCAATGTGATAACTGCTACTATAAACATACCATTTTTTGATACTTCTAAACTGACCCTTTAAAAAGGCAATGTCTTTTTTTTTTTCTCAAGGCAAGGCTCTTGGAACCACTTAGTGAGTATATATTGAATATTTTACTTTCTTTTTTCTGTGAGACAGCAAAAATTTCATCCAAACAGAACCATGCTTCTACCACATAAATCACTCAGAAAATCTGGTAACTTTCCATGTGATTCAGTTAAATCCTCTAAATCCCACAGGAGAATTGACTTGCTTTTGGCGTATTTCACCATATTAGGAGGAAAACCAGTATCCTGGGACGTGGTAGTCCACAAGAACGGGCCAAAGGCAGATGTCCCAAACCCAGTTTTGTTAGCTTAGGCATTTTCGAATGGTGTTTCTCTTGGTCAAAGTTCCTCAGGAAGTTTCTTCTGTCCTCCATATCCCCTTAGGTCCCCCACAATGCCTTTAAAAGGACAGACCCTTTCCTTTTATAATTCAATATAAGATATAAATGCAGAGGAAAGTTAACATGCTAAATGAAACCCAGCCTTACCTAACACCAGAACGGATGGGTTTGAGGGAACAGCAAGAGATGCAGGGAGAGGAGACGAGGGCAAGACACTCGCCGGGAAGTGGAGGGGCTGAGAGAAACAAAACAAGTTTTCCCACTTCTCAGTTTTGCCCAAGGCTGGCTCACATGTTAGTGGATTCTCTGAGCTGAGATAGAAATCCACCTTCTGGAGGTGGCTGCTATTTTATGGGTTGTGCAAACTCTAAACAACTTTAAACCAGAAGACCTTTGCACCCTCCATCATTTTGTTTTATTATATAAATATTAATGCACAATGCCCAGGAAAGAGGTGTCCTGTGTCCTAAGGAGACTCGCAGTTTGTTCATAGATGCTCAGATGTTTTCAAGAGACTGTTCTTTCAAGTGAGTAAATGGGATGGAGGAAGGGAGAGGAGACAGACTCAGAATGCCATCCAGTATAAATTATACTGATGCCACAGTGAAAAGAAACAGCTTGTCTGGAAGACTTCACGTATTCAAGTCAACAAGTGGCTAAGTGTTGTAAATATTTCCCAGGTCCGGGGGCTTGAGAGTAAATTTTTAAAATTGTATTGGGGCTCTCTGCCAAAGGCAGCAGAAGTCTAGCCTCTTCCAGGATCAGACTGGTCATTGGTCATCTCCACTCCTGGAAGAGTTTCAAACATCTATACTTTCAGACTGGAGGAAATAAGGTAAGGAAGGAAACAAAAGGAACGTTTCAATGTGTGGCCTCTTACTCCACCCTCCTGAGCAATCTTAGTCGTTCCTGATGAGACCCCTTCCCTTTTATTTTCTTTATTCTTCAATAGAAAATTTTGCATAGCAGAGCTACAGAATTTAGAGAATTTCTACATATACGCCTGATCTCTTCTGAAACGCGATAGACCTGCTGACAGGGAAAAGAAGAAAAGTATCGCACTGAGCCTAACGCAAGGGGGGCTTGGATCACCTAACCCCAGGCTCATTCTTCCTTAATTCAAAACATGGACTCCGTCTTGAAGTCTGAATCTCAAGTTAGATAATAAGGGGCCACTTGTTCAGGGAGCGAGACAAAGCAAAACAGAAGAACGTGGATAGATACGGAGGCGTGCCAGTGCGGGCCCTGTGCTAGTCCCTGAGTGTAGCCAGGTGAAATACTTACCACCAGCCTCTGTGGCCTGAGCCTAGGCTGCCAAACTGGCAGAGAATTGCTCCTTCAAAAGTTAGTGCTTAAATTAACTGCCCCCATCCCCACCGCAGCCCCAGGTGCTGCAAAAACTGGATTAATCTAAGGTATTTTTAACCCCCTGCTCCGCATACATATTTAGATTCTGGGGCTCCAAGCCAAAATTCCCCAGTGGACCACCTTATCCTTTGTTAATTGAAAAAATAAACAGTTCTGTGGTATGAAGAGGGTCGTTGTCACAGAAACATCTTTGATGCTGAGGCCGCTTTAGGGACACATTTCCTGTGTCTTCCATGAAGTTTAGCACAAGACAAACTCAAGGACCTCGAGAAGCAAAGGAGCAACCAATAGTCCAATAGTCGGGACCCAAAGTGTTTTCTGTGAAGGTGATTGACGGGTAGTTAAACTCACCCTGACTCAGGCTAAATCCAGGCGTGGCGAGAGGTTTGGGGAGTAACAGCCTATGCATTCAACACTGTCCAGAAGTCAGAGCCCAGCACGGTGGGGTGTGACCAACGTGTGCACACCGGGCTACAGCTCCTCCTCTCTTGAAGTGGTGATGGCTTATGAAATTCTAGCCGCTACTGCTGATTCAGCGGAAGGCGCCCATGGAATGTTATTGCCAACCTATTATTTCTCCATTAATTAATCTATGCCCACCATGGGTCATGGGAAAGAAACGTTTATCAATATTGCATTTGTTTTTACTTGGTGTGAGAGGCGGAGGGAAGCTTGCATGTGCCTGTAACACACAGTTATATTTAATTGACGGGTTTTAAATAAGCATGAAGACCCAGCGGAGTGTTACTTTCCCCTCTGCAAAGGATTTTCTTCAAAGGGGTGAGGAACGCACATTCTCAAGGTGTCTGCCAACACCTGTTGACTGCTGTAGGGATGGCAGTGTGTCTGAGAGCCCAAAGAAAAGACCTGGAGCCACTTAGCCAATTTGTGAATGCACAGAAAACGTTAGTAAAGGACATTCAAAGTGCTACTCAAGGGAAAACACAAATGAAAAGAAAGCAGGATAGATATATTGCTGTTAGGGAGAAAGTTTGCGTGGTCTGGACAGAGGATGGAGCCTGTCACTCATTCCCTTAAGCCGGAGCCTAATCCAGAGACAGGCCTTCACTCTCTACAGTTCTGTGAAGGCTGAGAAGTGTGGAAACTGCAGGCAAACGTATAAAGTTAGCAGAATGAATGAATGCGGAGTCACTTCTTACTAATGAGCAAAGGAAGTGGTTTTTTTGAGATAAAATTCATTCCTGGTGAAGATACCATGAATATTGCTGAAATGGCAGCAAGGGAATTAGAATATTCCAACAACGCAGTTGATGAAGCAGCAGCGGGAGATGAGAGGACCGATTCAAATTTCGAAAGAAGCTTTACTTTGGGTAAAATGCTATCCAACAGCCTAGCATGCTACAGAGAAATCTTTTCTAAGTGGAAGAGTCAATCAATGCAGGAAACTTCATAGTTTATTTTATTTCCCATCAGCAAAAAGATTACAACTGGCTGAAGCCTCAGATGATTATTAGCATTTTTAACAATAAAATATATTTAAATTTAAAGAAAAGAAAAGACCTAGAGCCAGCGAATGAGACACAGGCTTTATTGAAGACTTACCTATAGGGTGGTCCAGAAGCAGTGGACTAGGTAGGAAGACTCACTATCATTTGCAAAAAGTATGCAGAATATACAGCATTTTGGCTTAGCAGCCTCTACTTAGCAACCTCCATTTAACTCAAAACAAAGGACCTTCATCCCCTGGATGGCCTGCATTTCAAGGAACAGGCCAGGATTTCAGATGTTCTTCATAGGGAAGAAGTTGGCCACTCCCGTACTCCTTAGCTCAGAACTGAAACAAAATTCTTCTTAGATCATTCTCTAGGTTTGCCTAAGTTATTGCTGTCAGGTGCATCTGCCATACGCGCGGTACAGAGAGACACTTCAATGTGTGGTAAATAAGAAGCGTAGTTATGTAGACTCTACAACTGGGTAAACCTGTTAACAGACCCACACCAATAATCAGAAAGCACACAGTCCAGTGTGCCGGCTAAAAGCGCCTGTGCTCGAGTCAGGCCGCCTTGGATTCAAATCCTGACCCCTGCCACTTAGGTGAGTGACAGTCTTCAGAGTGTCTGAGAAGCAGACCCCAAGGCAAAGATCAAAGAACTCCACAGGGAAAGGGGTGAATGTTTGAGAAGCTCACTAGAGGAGAAGAGGTGTGATTTCAGTTGAAGGCCAGTCCTAACCTGATTCTCAGGGAGCTCAGAAATGGAAATTGCACCCCAGAATTCATCCAAAGGCAAAGAAGCTGGTCTTTTTTGGGTACTTCTTCACCATTTAGTCATCAGCTGGCGGGTGGAGGTTCAGTAATCAGCTCCTGAACGCTGAGGTACAGGTGAGGCAGCCACCGTGGCCCACAGGCAAATCTTTGAAGAATTTTGTAGCCATAAAGCCCTTGGCAGCAAAGCACACAGGACTGGGGGATGGGTGCAGAGAACTGGCGATCATGACCTCACAGGCTCTTGACAGGGGTACCAAGGGTGTTGACTGTTGTGAGTATGGACACACTTCCTAATTTCTCTACGCCTAAGTTTCCTTCTATAGAAAATGGGAACGGGGCCGGGCACAAGTGGCTCACACCTGTAATCCCAGCACTTTGGGAGGCCTAGCCAGGTGGATCACGAGGTCAGGAATTCAAGACCAGCCTGGCCAAGATGGTGAAACCACACCTCTCCTAAAATACAAAAATTAGCCAGGCGCAGTGGCAGGTGCCTGTAATCCCAGCTACTCGGGAGACTGAGGCAAGGGAATCACTTGAACCGGGGAGACAGAGGTTGCAATGAGCTGAGATCACACCACTGCATTCCAGCCTGGGCAACAGAGTGAGACTCCATCTCAAAAAGAAAGAAAAAGAAAACAGGGGTATTTGTATTAACTTAAGACAATTGTAATAATGAAATGGAGATGCCACAGGTAAAAGGCTCAGAACCTGACACAGAGTAATGGTTCAATTAAACATTGCCCCTGATATTCTCCTGCTAGACTATGAACTCCACAAGAACAAGGAGAGCACCTTTTTCATTACCACTGTATCCCCACTCCCTAGAAAAATGCCAGATACAGAGGATGCACTCAGTAAGTATCTGAACAGCTTTACGGTAAGAAAACGACATAGGGATACATAAGACTTTGTGAAAGGCAGAGAAGTCACATCAGTTAGGATGGGAGAGTAGCCTCATGGCTGTTCAGAAATCAGTTGGGATGGGAGAGTAGCCTCATGGCTGTTCAGAAATCAGTTGGGATGGGAGAGTAACCTCATGGCTGTTCAGAAATCAGTTGGGATGGGAGAGTAGCCTCATGGCTGTTCAGAAATCAGTTGGGATGGGAGAGTAACCTCATGGCTGTTCAGACATCAGTTGGGATGGGAGAGCAACCTCATGGCTGTTCAGAAATCAGGATGGGAGAGTAACCTCATGGCTGTTCAGAAATCAGTTGGGATGGGAGAGTAGCCTCATGGCTGTTCAGAAATCAGTTGGGATGGGAGAGTAACCTCATGGCTGTTCAGAAATCAGGATGGGATGGGAGAGTAGCCTCATGGCTGTTCAGACATCAGTTGGGATGGGAGAGCAACCTCATGGCTGTTCAGACATCAGTTGGGATGGGAGAGCAACCTCATGGCTGTTCAGAAATCAGGATGGGAGAGTAGCCTCATGACTGTTCAGAAATCAGTTGGGATGGGAGAGTAGCCTCATGGCTGTTCAGAAATCAGTTGGGATGGGAGAGTAGCCTCATGGCTGTTCAGAAATCAGTTGGGATGGGAGAGCAACCTCATGGCTGTTCAGAAATCAGGATGGGAGAGTAGCCTCATGACTGTTCAGAAATCAGTTGGGATGGGAGAGTAGCCTCATGGCTGTTCAGAAATCAGTTGGGATGGGAGAGTAGCCTCATGGCTGTTCAGAAATCAGGATGGGAGAGTAACCTCATGGCTGTTCAGAAATCAGGATGGGAGAGTAACCTCATGGCTGTTCAGAAATCAGGATGGGAGAGTAACCTCATGGCTGTTCAGAAATCAGGATGGGATGGGAGAGTAGCCTCATGGCTGTTCAGACATCAGTTGGGATGGGAGAGCAACCTCATGGCTGTTCAGAAATCAGGATGGGAGAGTAGCCTCATGACTGTTCAGAAATCAGTTGGGATGGGAGAGTAGCCTCATGGCTGTTCAGAAATCAGTTGGGATGGGAGAGTAGCCTCATGGCTGTTCAGAAATCAGTTGGGATGGGAGAGCAACCTCATGGCTGTTCAGACATCAGTTGGGATGGGAGAGCAACCTCATGGCTGTTCAGAAATCAGGATGGGAGAGTAACCTCATGGCTGTTCAGAAATCAGGATGGGAGAGTAACCTCATGGCTGTTCAGAAATCAGGATGGGATGGGAGAGTAGCCTCATGGCTGTTCAGACATCAGTTGGGATGGGAGAGTAACCTCATGGCTGTTCAGAAATCAGGATGGGAGAGTAACCTCATGGCTGTTCAGAAATCAGGATGGGATGGGAGAGTAGCCTCATGGCTGTTCAGACATCAGTTGGGATGGGAGAGTAACCTCATGGCTGTTCAGAAATCAGGATGGGAGAGTAACCTCATGGCTGTTCAGAAATCAGTTGGGATGGGAGAGTAGCCTCATGGCTGTTCAGAAATTCTGTATTTGACAATAGGCAGAAGCAGAGCTTTCACGTGGGAAAGGATAAGTATATGAAAGCCATCACGGGGACTTACTAAAAAATACTTCTATTAGCAAAAATCAAAATCACTTTTCTCCAACTTCGCAGAACGGACCAGAATAGAGTCTTCTGCACTTGCTTCCTGAACCGCACCCGCAAAGACCAAAGCAGCAGCTTGAGCAAGTCTTAGAATCCAGGACAGACTGTCTAGTCCAGCAGCTCTTACTGTTTTTGATTCCAGGGCCTCCTTACATTCTTAAAAATTACTAAGTACTCCAAAGAGCTTAGTTCATGTGGAGTATAGCTACCAACATTTTCCATATTAGAAACGGAAACTGAGGAAAGTTTTAACTATTAATTACTTAACTGCAAAGTAATAATAATTACGTTAAATAACGCATTTCTATGAAAAATAGGTATAGATTTTAAAAAAAGTAAGATAATAATAGTGACATTGTTTTACATATTTTCCAATTTCTTAAACATCTGCCTCAATAAAGACAGCAGGATTCTCCTCTCTGCTTCTGTATTACTTACTTTGCAGTATGTTGTTTTGGTTGAAGTGTAGAAAGAAAATCTAGCTTCACACAGTTAATAGTTGGAAAAGCAGGAATATGTTCCAATTTTTTTCACATAATTTTGTCTTTGATTATACTCCAAAACTCTACACACGTTAGTTTTCAGAAAGGTGAGTTGCAGTATAGAATTTGAAACCAGGTAATTGAACATTTTATACTCAATTACATTAAATCTATTGCCTATCTTGCATTTTGGGTGTATTATTTTATCCATGCATGATTTTACAACATAATACCTTGGAAGATAATACACTGAGTTATGCAAATCTTCCCAATGTTGACACTTTTCATTTATAGTATTTTTAAATCCAATTTATAAATAATACCACTGATCTTATCAGAAAACTCTAAGTATTGAGAAACTTTCAAGCTCAGAGTAAAAAATACAAGTTCTCCAAATTCAATTTTCAATTGAAAGCTCAAATTTGCACTGTTGTAATTACCCTTGAGACTGAGAAGCCATCCCTGACCCTCCCGGCCTCTAGCACAGCCCTTGTCACATTCTCTTGAGATTATCTTCTTTTGTCACTGTCTCTCACTAAACCATGAGCTCCTTCCAAGCAGAACTATGTCTTCTATCTCCTGGTCCTCAGTACCTCATACATAAACATTATTCAGAGAGGGAATGATTGAATAAATCCCTAGGAATGATGAATTCGGTGGCTACAGAGGTCTGTCTCACATTCCCAGACAGGAGATTTTGTTATCACATAAATCCTATGTATCACTGAAAATGTAAGGCAAGCTGGAGCTGCCTTACAAGCATAGATGATGGCTGATGCACAAACACACACCAGAGAAATCAAGGTCTGTCTTCCTCTGGGGCAAGGGCCCAGACTCAAAAGGCCAAATGGAAGCAGGGACAAAAGACGACTCCGTGAAGCGCAGCAGAGTGGGTGGGTCACATGTGGGACATGGAACCATTTCTGTGCGAAGGGCATAGAAAGAGCTTTGAAAGGAAGCAGAGGAAACAGAGAATGGGAAACACAAGTCCAGCCACAAGGACAGAAGAAAATAGACAACAAGACTAAAGGATGGCAGAAAAGCTGAGGAAGAAAAGGATAACCAGAGCCCAGCACTTGCTCTGCAGCTTCAGACAGAATAAGGTCAGACACAGTAAGGAGAAGTAGGTGTGAGCACAGCAGATGGACAGCAAAGAGAATACTTCGAAATATTTTCTGTTTCAAATTAGACTACCCCCTAAGTTCCTGACAGTCGCGCCCCCACCTCCTGGCCCCAAATTCATGTTTACTTGTGCAATAAAATTGTGTCTCTGGATTTGTCTACACTGGAGAGAAGGCCTTCCCTTCCCCCAAATATTTTTCTACTCACTTTCAAGAAGCCCTGAGTGACCTCTTCTGTAGGACCCGACCACATTTGCAACCATCTACGTTTAGTCCACGGTGATTTTGTGTCTTAGTCCATTGTGTCCAGGACCTAGTGGTTATACCGGAGATTTTATTCCCAAGCCCTACCTGACAATACAACAAAACTAACATCAAGGCCGGGCGCGGTGGCTCACGCCTGTAATCTCAGCACTTTGGGAGGCCAAGGCGGGTGGATCACAAGGTCAAGAGATCGAGACCATCCTGGTCAACAAGGTGAAACCCGTCTCTACTAAAAATACAAAAAATTAGCTGGGCACGGTGGCGCGTGCCTGTAATCCCAGCTACTCGGGAAGCTGAGGCAGGAGAATTGCCTGAACCCAGGAGGCGGAGGTTGCGATGAGCCGAGATTGCGCCATTGCACTCCAGCCTGGGTGACAAGAGCGAAACTCCGTCTCAAAAAAAAAAAAAACAAAAAAAACACTAACATTTAGGATGCGTGAAGGAGCAATGAAGCAGACAGTCTGTAACCAGTGTGGACACTATTGTGTGTCAGTGTGGACACTATTGTGTGTCAGTGTGGACACTATTGTGTCAGTGTGGACACTATTGTGTGTGTCAGTGTGGACACTATTGTGTGTGTCAGTGTGGACACTTGTGTGTCAGTGTGGACAGTATTGTGTGTCAGTGTGGACACTATTGTGTGTGTCAGTGTGGACACTATTGTGTGTCAGTGTGGACACTATTTTGTGTGTCAGTGTGGACACTATTATGTGTGTCAGTGTGGACACTATTGTGTGTCAGTGTTTTCTGGTGAACATCTGTTCCATAGGATGTTAATAGCCATGGCACGAGAACAAGTTGGGGACACTCAGGGTTGAAGAAAATTCAACAGGCTTCTTTATTGCAGGGATTTTCAAAGGTAATCTTCCAATTGGGAAGACAGCACACTGTATTTCCCGTGTATTTACAAGCAAGATCTTTTTTGCTGAGCAACTATCTCTCAGGATAACTCCCTGAAAACCACAGTTTGGAAACATGAGTATAAACTCTAATGGCAGAGAGAG